ATAGCACAAAGGAAAGGAGGAGTTAAGTAAGAATTGGGACAGAGTGGGTGAGTGTCCCAGCTGGATGGGTCACAGTATGTTACAGAAAGTAGATAATTTCATTTGAAACTAACACACGCAGGAAGCGTTGTTGCTAGTGAATAAACGGTGGGAGATCTTCTGTGTTGTGGTTTACAGATAGGCTACGATATCTATGTCGTTCGGTTCAACACATTCAATTTCAGTTGGTCTGTTCTGTTTTGCATCTAAATGGGCACCGAAACCCATACGGGGCAGGATATGCTATCAATATTTAACCTACACACATACACACATAAGAAACAGTTTTTTTTTAAATGCATATGACTCCTGCATACATCGTGTCATCCGACATGTGTTTTGTGTCCGGTGTTGAGATTCTCCTTTGGTAATTTATGTTGAAAATGGTCTTGCGTGTTAGTATACGTGTTCCTACAGCGAGGCTATGTCGTCATTTGGAGCTGGAAGGTTCAATTCAGCGTAATTATAGTTTTCAGTTATCTTTCTACCTTTTTTAAACAAAGCCAAAAAAGAAAACTGCCAATAGAGAAGTCTGGCGATCTCTCTTGTAAACATCTTCACCCCAAGATAGAAGAGGACTGACTAAGCAAGTCTACTTCTTTCTCTCAGTGCAAATTACTACTTGGCTGTGTATATTTATATGTATGTATCGTTTCTACGCCCTCAGTGGTTCCCTCGTATATTTATTTGGGGTACTTCTGGTGGCTGGGTCCCACCTGAAGAATGGAGGATGGCAGAAGTCCTAAAGACATCCTTTATGATGAATTAAAGACGGGTAGAAGATGTTGAGGCCGACCTCTACTACAATGTAAAGATGTGTTTACAAGGGACATGAATGATACACGTACTGAGGTTGACTGGTGGGAACACAATGAAATGGACCGTGTTGTGTGAAGGAGGCCCGTCAGTAAAGAACTGAGAATAAAGGAAGAAATGACTGCAGAAAGGGTGAGAGCTGAGCATCTCAGAAGAAACAGATTAAACACAAATGTTGACAACAACGGTCCCGAAATCCCATGCTATAACTGTTAAAGACTTTTCTTAACGGGAGGGGTCTTGCTAGTCACACTCGCCATCGCCATGGGCTGTGAGTCTCATGTCTCCACATAGCACAATATAACACTATCGTTTGGAAAGATGCCAATGCACTTATGATGCTATCTTGGACAACCCCTATCTTGATTTCCAAACACATGTAGTCTGGAGATTATCGTATCTTTTGAAACGTCAGCAGAGCTTTTTGTTTACGCCAAGCGAAGGTGCCGGTACTCGGCACAAAATGTGTAGCACTGAAAAAATAGTTCCTAGAAAAAAATATAAAGCGGCCTTTTCCAAACCTGCATGTTTACTGGGTATAAGGGCTAGACATATATGTTGTAGACCAACTGGGACTCGATGTATGACGCCGGCTGCCTTTACTTTCCATGGCTATACCTGGTAACCACTCAATTCTGGGTAGACCTATGCACAGTGAGGCGTACGTCTAGTCACTACACGACGGCTGCTCTCTTGGGGGGGGGGGGGGTGTAGAGAAAGTGCCAGACATTTGTTCATTCATACATCATTTGATAGGAAAGGCGGGGTGAGTGAGACAGTGAATACTTTCTACATTCCAGTCGTTTTTACCAGCTGCATGATAGATCTGGCTAATGAAGACATGTGTACTAAAAGTTATTATTTGGTGAGAATGGTCACAAAAGCAATTATTTCCTTGGTATTTAGTATCTAGTTCACTCACTAATTGTCACTGAATTCTGCTACTTGTACAAATACAAATCAATACCATTATATTCATTATCCGCAACAGACTGGCCCGCGGCGTTCGAACCACTGACGTGTAACAACCTGAATATCTGTGTCGCACACGTGTATCGTGACTGTGTAATGTGTTCGCCTTTGTACAGTCGGCTTGCGGTTCTTCATTGAATTCTGCTTCGGTCTAAGTACACAACATCTTAGCATTTGTCGCAGCCAAAGCACTGCATATCAATGTGTGATACCTTCGGCCAAACAGCTCACAGAGATGAGCAATTACTAAACATGATGTGTGTGATTGTCATGTTTCCTCTCCTATCTGAGCCTCCTTGTCTGTGACTGGACACGTTCGCTGGCCAGGTTCTTCCAGCCGCGCATGCTAAAGTTGTGATTTACTAATCATGTTTTATGTTTTTGTATTTTCGCGGTAAATATGATATCTTAGATGTTTTGATTTACCATAACTTGGTGGATACAACATTGATAATTTTCTTATTTTGTTTCTTCTTTTTCTTGCAACACTGACTAGACTACACAAACATAACATGAAAAAGGGTGAAGCCTGAGAAGAGCGCTACACAGAGACCTAAAGAAGAGTAGTAGACCAACACACAGCTGGTGTCGGGACTGCGTGCACGCTACACTCAATCTCTGGGACAAGCCTAACGCGCAGAAGTCGACGAACAACTGTAACTTTCCTTGGGAATCAGAGCCGGTGGAGGTTAAGGAAAAGATGGTTCCCATTTCAGTACCCGTTTGTTGATTCTCTGAGTTAGCGATTGTTGACTAGAAATTACAAGGAGACTTAAGTCATGTGCAGTTTAAGTAGAATGAAGCGTCTACGACTGGCAATAAATTAACCCCATCCCCACACCGGAATGGTAACCTCTTGCAGTGGGTTCCAGGACCCAATTCTGGGTCTTTGGATAGAGAATAGAAACATTGTCCCCTAGCAAGCATGTCGTACAGGATCAAAATATTCAGGGGTTGCAGAAAAAGGGGGTGGGGGGAGAACCAGTGCCTTATCGAATGGCGTGGGAGATTAGATTCTGCAAACTCCAACAATTGATAAGCCCCACTCTGGCTTTTGCCAGGGGCCGCAAGTTCTTGAACCCAATCTCTTTATGTTGGCAACCTCCGTGGCAAATAGCAGTTCTCTTCTTGCCAGAATCTTCTTCGTCAATTTTGTGATTTTTTGTTAATTAAATGTATGACGTGCTGTAATTATCCAAAATCTCACTTAGAAGTACTTTCTTTACTCTAAGATTGATATTATTTGTTCAATTTTGCTGGCAATAACACTATATCAACTCATTCGTTTATATAACTGTATATTTCGTCACCGCGTTTCGTCATTCTTACGTCCTTTTTAGGACATAATTTTGTGTTATTTGAAGCCCCACTCTGGCTTTTGCCAGGGGCCGCAATATAGGCAGGCCATAAATATGGCCAATTGTCTGAACGCGGTTTCTGGGACCTCTCCACGGTGATCCTCACCCACATGGTGGCACTTTGTGTCATCGGGTGTTTATCGCTTGTGTGATGTCCTAGTGGGGTAGAAAGTCAGCTCAGCTCGTCACCGCGTTGTTTATTATGTGTCTGTGTTTATGCAGATGTGTGATTAATTAAACACACTAAATCAACAATGAGACTCGAATTGGATTTGATACCGTATTCCGACTTTATCATGGGTTTTAACTACATTGACTCTTTCAGTACAAACCATTCATTGCTTTAATGGGTTCCAGAGCCCAATTTTGGGGAGAAAAAGAATAGACCTATCCACAACCCAACAAGCATGTCCTAAACAAAAACCAATTAAGGGATGTTTTCGAAGTCGGTGTGCATCTGCTTTGAGAGGCGAGGAACCAACAGTCTGTTTAGAATTAAAAGCCTTGATGTAAAACGGATGTGCACGCAAAGCTCAAATTCTGGAACAAGAACAAAGTCCAGAAGTGGGCAAACAACCAGAACTTCTCGTCGCAGTTTATAACTGGTAAACGGGAAGAAGAAGAAGAGGAGATTACTTCAAGACTTGCTAACCCAGAGTTTATGCGATAAGAATCTTCGAGTCTCAGCGATCGCAAATAGTAGAAATATGGAGTAGGCTCATCTGAAGTAGTATTAGTCACATTTAAACCAGGATATCATATCCATTAATTTTGGGTTATTATAGAATATATAGAAATTCTATTTCAACTAAGGATATCTATGCTGAGGGGAAAGCATGAACGTAACAAAAGAATGAATGGAACAGAATGTTCAGCTAATGTATATTGTGAATCTTCTTCTTCTTTTGTCCTACTGATTTTGTCATCAAACGTCGCTTTTTTGTGTAGTTTTCTGTCTTTTGCAACTTTTGAGGTTGTGTTAATGTCATACTGCATTTCTGTAGTGTCCCTTTTACCATCTGCAACTATCTTTCTTGGTTTGCCTCTTGTTCTCTACTATTTCTTCGTCGTCTCACGGTTACCAGGCTGTAGCCCAGTGTCGTGGTTTTATGTATTTGTCTTGCGCCTTTCGTGTGGCTTGAATGATGGATTTGTTCAACTGTTTGCAGGTTTCATCTACATCATTTATCCATGTCTTTCTTGGTCTTCCTCTCGCCTTCCTCCAAGATGTTCTCCTGTTTAAAAAAAAGTCTCATATGCAATATAGTCTGGCTGCATTTTCACTTTATGGCTGATGAATATAGTTTACAAACGTATAGTGATTAGTCAGGTACTAGAAGAGTTCATATCAGAAAGACTTGACGGTCCCTATGTAATAGATAGTCTGTGAGTATTATTCATGCCGACTACAGCGAGAGAAGAAAGAAATAAGACGATCAGCAATCACTTTCAAACAACAGCACAACGACAACCTGGCAAGTCGCAGGCGCAAACAGACTACTTCCGCCTGTATGGGCAACACGGAAAATAGTTCTTCGTTTTCAATAAAATAGTTTTCATTCTCTAGGCACAGTTTTAAAATTATTATTTTGCACAGACTTACTATGACGACAGCATATTGAATAAAAGTTAAAGTATACATATATGTGAAAGAAGGCGTGCACACTTGTGTTTGTGGGTATCAGTGCGCCGTCTATTCTGGTACAGCTGCGAGTGAAATCATAAAATGGCGACATTCACGATTAGTAAAGTCGGTGTCGGAATCCTGTGAAATTTGTGCTTCTGGATAATGTTTTCTTGATATTTATACCAGAAATGGATACTCAGACATCTTCTTCATCCATCCTTGAACCAGGTAAGAGATATTCTCAATCCATTCTATCTATATTTAATCCGTATCGACCCCGACTTCAACTGACACACGCATGTTGTTCTTTTTCAGAACTCTACTTTCTCATCGCCCGGTTTCTAAGCAGTGGCCCGTGTCAGCGAGCAACAAAGGTAAGTTTATTTCCTGTGAAATGTATCCTGGAATAAACGATTCAACATCTGACACTCTTATTTTATCTATTCCAGGTCCTGCTGGAAGAATTGGACGAGTTCAAGGTGAGACTTTTATATACTTATTTATACTGCTATTCTTATATAAATACCTGATTTACAATATTTGTTATTAACAACAATTTATCGTATTTTGTAGTGTTATAAACGCATAAAACGACACTGTTATCATTACTTAGTATAAATGTTCAATTTGTGTGTCAGTGTATTGAAATATTGATTGACGTTTTCCCGTCCGCAGTTGTTGCCTCAGAGAGTCGACTGGGAAGGCAAGCAGCACAACAGGAGCTATGAGAACCTGGTATGTTGTGAAAACACTCCCCACACATTTAAGATGAGACCAACTTTGAAATAATTATTAATTTCACACCATTCAGGGGCACATTTTCATTTTTATGGGCATGAATAGGAAAAATTCCCAGCTTTCAGATGGTGATGTTGTTGAGGGGTTAAAATATTGGAGAATAAAAGATTTTGAGCAAAAATCTCAGGTTCTGGACTTGACGAATTTGTTATAGTCTTTTCATGTCCATGACGTCATTGGTTGGGAATTGAAATGTAGCCAATGAAACGTGTTCACTGTCTCTGGTGGCCATGTGATGTAAGGGGGAATTTGATTGGCTGGGAGTCTGGCGAAATGAGGTCAGGGAAGTGGGTCAGGTCACAGTCTGCCCGTGTAGAGAGAGAGAGAGAGAGAGAGACACGTGTGGGCAGGGCGTGTTTCCTTCTACCTGAGTATCTGCTTTCTTTTCTTTCTTCTTTCTTTCTTTTCTTTCTGTAGCCCATTTAACATTCTTCATTCCCTCTCCCCCTTTTCAATTTCTTTCTGTGTATCCTTCTGCCTTTCTACCTTTCTGTCTTTTCCCAACTCTTTCTTTCTGAAGCCACCCCCCCCCCTCTTTCATGTTTTTAAACGGGTAGGACATAGGGAGAAGAAAAAGTTGGTAAGAAAGAACAATGTGTCATATAGTGTTGACCCTAGAGTCAGTTTAACATGTTGATAATTAATTGTACTCCTCTCTCTCTCTCTCTCTCTCTCTCTCTCTCTCTCTCTCTCTCTCTCTCTCTCTCTCTCTCTCTCTCTCTCTCTCTTAGAGGTAAACATTCTTTTAAATGTTTGGCAACGTCTGTCTCTTGTATATTTGTTGCATGAATTTGTCTCCTTTCTTGTTTGTGTTCATCCAGATACATTTCTGGTGGAAATGTTTGGTTGTTCATTCACTTCTGGACTTTGATCTTGTTTCAGAACTTGAGTTGTTTGTGCATATCTGTTTTACAGATCTGGCCTATTTGTTTTTCCGACTGTTGGTTGCTCACCTCTCATGCAGATGCACTATGACTCTAAAGGAAATACCCACAATGACACATTATACAACCTGCTTGTTGGCAGATGACACATTGTACAACCTGCTTGTTGGCAGATGACACATTGTACAACCTGCTTGTTGGCAGATGACACATTGTACAACCTGCTTGTTGGCAGATGACACATTGTACAACCTGCTTGTTGGCAGGTGGTGGTGCTGTTTTTGTTGCCCCGTTATAGGGACATGCAACCCACAGGGGGTTGTTGAACAGAAGGAAAGAATAATTTGGCAGTTTATGTCTGCCTGTGTGTGTCACATGTCTACCTGTAGATGTCACTTGTCTGCCTGTAGATGTCACTTGTCTACCTGTGTATGTCACATGTCTGCCTCTAAATGTGACATGTCTGACTGCCAAGCCTGTGGGGTATGTTATTCTTATTAAACTAGAATGAGAAATCTATGTTTGCTTTCACTATCTCTGTTCGAAGGGAAACAAAACTAAAATTGCCATGTTTGTGGAGAAACCTGCAGTCTGTATTAAATCCCTTCCAGGTGAAATTAATTGCAGCAACTCTAGAACATATTGGTGGCAGTGCTTGTGCGAGTGAACATAGAGTTGTTCTCGGGATATGCTTTTCCTCGGAAGTCCACTAAGATCACACTGTTTGATTTGATCTGCGCTGTACCTGGCAACATTTGTCACCAAAGCCAGTCATAAAAATAGATGATGCAACATCAGATGACAGCTTGGGAATCTACATAGTGCCATTGTAACCTTCCCCATAACTTGGGAATCTACATACTGCCATTGTAACCTTCCACATATTGCTATTGTCATCATCATCATGTGCTGTGCTTATAAGCATCCCAGATGATCAACAGAATTATTGATCAGATCAATACAGGTCATTAGTTGAGCTTAGTATCAAAGTGTTTGATCTCTTTTGTCTTCCTGAGTCTTTTTCTATCCAGCTTTTTGGTTACTACTTACTTTTGTCTTTATCTTAGTCTTTTTCTATCAAGCTTACTAGTTATTGCTTACTGACTTTTCCCTGTACTCATCATCTTCATGTACTATGGTGGTAAGCATAGGCTGTCATGTTTAACTATCTCACACGATCACCAGAATCACAGATCAGTTCAATGTTTTTATCTAGCCCCATCCATCTCAACCAGGCCATCCAGGTATTTATCTCTTTGCCTTCCTCTTGCTCTCTTTCCATCAATCTTGCTAGTTGTCACCAAGTTCTCAAGTTCCTTACTTCCTTCTCATAACCCGTCTGAAAATACCAACTATCTCCATCTAACTTTTCTGATAAGTTTACGACTTTCATCTGTGTCCAGGAAGACTGCTTTGTTTGTTTTTCTGTCTTTCCATGATATTCTTTGCATTCTTCTTAATTAAAAAACAAACAAAAAAAAAGCCACTTCTCTGTCGTCAGTAAATGTATTTCAGCTTGTTGCCTATTGCCCCTGTTTCACATGTATTTAACAACACAAGTTCTACTTTCTCTTCTTTGTGCAGTTTGACCTCCTCTTATTGGCCAGAGTGTTGTGAAATCATGAGTGTTCTTGACATCGCGAAGATGATAGTTTGCCATTGCTTTCCTTCTTAGCAGTGGCTATTGGTCAGCGGACCGTAGCCATTGTCACTCTAGTGTAATCCTCTACATGCAGTTGGTCAACTTAAGACCATGACCAAGGACTATCTTGACCTGCTGCCATGGTTTCACATGACCCTGATTGGTCAACTGAAGACCATGACCAAGGACTATCTTGGCTGCTGCCATGGTTTCACATGACCCTGATTGGTCAACTTCAGACCATGACCAAGGACTTTCTTGGCTGCTGTCATGGTTTCACATGACCCTGATTGGTCAACTTCAGACCATGACCAAGGACTATCTTGGCTGCTGCTATGGTTTCACATGACCCTGATAGGGGGAGATTCCACCTTGCCTAAGGGTGTCCCAAGGCTAGCGGAGGAAAGAAGGTGCCTTACTTCCTTCACAGAGGATACCCCCACTACCCTGTACTTTATATTCTTTAATCTTTGCCATGTAATTAATCCTACCTGTCTCATATGTACGTGGAAACCTGTACAGAAGCATACCTGGCATTATGTCATCTTATCTTTGGCTCTGTACTGTAGGTGTATTTGAACAGACATATACGCAGTGATCACTTGCTTCGCATCGTCGAGCGTGTCGGAGCTTTGCTGGACAAAGAGATAAAACCCAGTGTTCCTGGTGTCAGATCACTTCTTGGTGCCGGCAGTTTGTCATTGCTCAGAACATCTGAAGGTCAGTTATCTGTTGTGTAATTCATCTTCTGAAGTTTTTAAATTCTGTCTAGGATTATAGATTGCAGTTATTATTCTTGTTTATGCATTTTCAACATTTGTTTTAGAAACTTCTCCTCTACCATCAAGCTTTTCCTAATTTTTTTATTCACACTCCAAGATTTGCTGTAACATAAAAGTTTTGATTTAAAGTTTTCGTATTAGAGTTACTAAAAACTTAGACAGATAATATGGTGGGCTCCTTGACTTCCACATCCTCTGACGAGGACAGCAGTTTCAGTTGCCAGGACACAGGATTGTCCTGCTCCTTTGCAAAGCTTCAGTTGGAATATTGCTTATCCTGGCGGATACCTGGACCACACAGCTTTGTGCTGCCCATCCCCCATCCCTGGACCACACAGCTTTGTGCTGCCCATCCCCCATCCCTGGACCACACAGCTTTGTGCTGCCCATCCCCCATCCCTGGACCACACAGCTTTGTGCTGCCCATCCCCCATCCCTGGACCACACAGCTTTGTGCTGCCCATCCCTGGACCACACAGCTTTGCGCTGCCCATCCCTGGACCACACAGCTTTGTGCTGCCCATCCCTGGACAACACAGCTTTGTGCTGCCCATCTCTGGACCACACAGCTTTGTGCTGCCCATCCCTGGACCACACAGCTTTGTGCTGCCCATCCCCCATCCCTGGACCACACAGCTTTGTGCTGCCCATTCCTGGACCACACAGCTTTGTGCTGCCCATCCCTGGACCACACAGCTTTGTGCTGTGCTGCCCATCCCCCATCCCTAGACCACACAGCTTTGTGCTGCCCATCCCTGGACCACACAGCTTTGTGCTGCCCATCCCCCATCCCTGGACCACACAGCTTTGTGCTGCCCATCCCCCATCACTTAAAGGTGAGAGAGATAAAGACACACTCTGGGCCTACCAACAGACACTTTTATATCCCCGTACCCCCTTCATCCCAGTGTGGTGTTGATACAGAATGTTCCAAAACATACTTTTAGAATTGTCGGCATTGGGATTGCCAGTGCTTGGCTTCCGTCATTGTTCATCTCACTTTGCACATTTCAGGGGACCTTATGTCTGCCATCTGACCCCTTTTGGTGAGATTCCCTGTTGCTGTAATAATTTATTCTGGCAGTTAAATACCAAGGAGCAACTGGCCTGAACAGTTGGTGGGGATAGCATTAGCCATGTGCCCTTAAGTCATTCAGCCCAAGACACCCCTTTCGCCTTCCCATCCTGTGCTCCTAAAAAAAGGGGGTAAATACAGGTAAACAAGTTTTACGCAGTTAGTCAGATTATATCAAGGACATTTTAGCTCCAGATGTCTTTTTTTCTGTTGATTGCTTTTGTATTGAAATGCTGTGCTGTGTTTATGAATTCTTCAACGTTACTAAGCTCTGCAGTCGCAGCGAACTCTACTAGTGACTGACAGTTGTTTGTGTATCCAGTAATACATTTTGTTTGTTCCAGGTGCCAGACAGACAAAATGGAGTCCTGCCCATCACATGATACGCTATCATGGAGCTCCTCTGTATCCACCTGTAAATCTAGCAGTGCCTGCCGTCCGTAAGTCAGTTTCATCTTTTAAACCTCAAATACAGCAAGCATTTTCTTATTTTTAAAGAAATATGATTTGATGGTTGAGACATTTCTCATTGTTTGACAAGGTTGCTTCAGAGACATTCACATTGAAGATGATTCAGTGAATGGTACAGTGACATGGTACATGTCACATGTATGACATAATTATAGGTTTATGAGACAATAATTTAATGAAAAATTAATTTTCTAAGAATTTTATTAAGAGACCAAAACCAGAATATGTACCTGTAAGCAGTGAAAGATGGGAGTTTATAGACAGTTATTGCTAGATTAGACGCTTTATGGCACAACATGACCTTGTGGTTTGGAGGTGCAAAACAGCGAGGCAGCGACTTCCCACCTACCAAGAGAAACTGTTTGCATTTCAAAGAATGTTCTGAGGTTACAGAATGATTGATTTGATTCAAGAACCAACATCACAGCACTCAGAGCATTCCCATAAGTGCTCCGTCCCCATCTTTAGCAGCCAGCTAAGAGTTCCGATAGGTTACAGAAGACACACAGCTACACCATAGGGGCAACTGGAAGTGCATTTGAAACTCCGATATTGTTCAATATGCCAGGTAAAACAACAGTCAACAAAGCTGGTGAAAAAACAGTGCATGTGCCTTCAGGAATAGAACAGCAGCTTTGTACTGTAATGCCAGGTATCACTGGTGATGGTCACAAACTCCCACCTGACATCATTTTTAAACAAATTGTATCACTGTTGGTCTCAAACTCCCACCTGACATCATTTTTAAACAAATCGTATCACTATTGATGGACACAAACCCACACCTGACATAATTTTTAAACAAATCGTATCACTATTGATGGACACAAACCCACACCTGACATAATTTTTAAACAAATCGTATCACTATTGATGGACACAAACCCACACCTGACATAATTTTTGAACAAATCGTATCAATATTGATGGACACAAACCCACACCTGATGTCCATTTTTAAACAAATTGTATCACTGTTGATGGTCACAAACTCCTACCTGATGTCCATTTTTAAACACATCCATGCCTAAAGAGAAGCTACCGCCTGAAATATTGGTAGTAGTGCAAGAGAAAGGGTGGATGACTGAAGAATTGTTGAGCTGTTAATTAGTAAATTTTGTACAAGTGCGGTTAGAATAACTGTATCCTGTTTAAATACAGTAATCTTGGAGCTGACAGACGCACTTGCTTGGCGATTCCTGACATTCCAGCGTGACTTTGGTAGTAACTCCATTGAAGCCAAGGGGGATAAACTTTGGCTTATGGGAGAAAACTGACCTACAGAGCAGTTTTGGTCTGGCCCACAAGGATGATGTTAAATTACTGTATAATTTTTCCCTTCAGCTCACAGAATAGCAGTGCACAGGAACATATGTTCATACGCATAATTTTTTAAAGCTTCAAATAAAAACATCCAAAATGTGCTAACCTAAACACAGAAATATCTTATTACGAGGAAATCTGGTTGTTACCCTTATAATAGATTTTTTTCATATGGTCCACGACCACGTTGGTATTTCTAAATTTGGACCGTGGACCAAAAAGGGTTGTCCACCCCTGATCCAAACCATTGCAGGAATGACCTATCTTTGTTTGGCATCCAACCATGCAACGTTTATCCATATATTAGAGTTATTAACCTGGTTGCTGGTCCGGTTATCAATATATTAAATGATTTCTATCTCTGGCCTGTCAATTGAACAAATTATGCGAAAGCGACAGTGATGGGGTTTTACAGACAAAAGATAAGAATACCCGGGACAGATAAAAGAGAGTAATGAAGATGTTTTGACAGACACTCACGAAGAGCACTGATTGCTAACATCAGAAGGAGACAATCTGCATTCTTTGATCATGTCATGAGAAGGAGTAAATGAGTGAACGTGATAGACGGAAAGTTGGGGGGGGGGGGGGGCAAAAAGATAGAGAGAGACTGAGAGAAAAGGTGCTGGGCAGTTTGACATCACCTCATGGAGGATCATCTGTGTCAGAATTAATTATTGAATTTTTTTTCCCTTCCACAATCTAGCACATGTTCTCAAAGGTTACGAGACTTCTGGAGTTGTCCGCCACCACAGTGTTGTTCCTACAAGTATATTTAGCAGATTTAGCATGCATGGGCGGAAACTTGGCCACTTATCAGCTGTCTATTGTGTTCTCTTCGACCGCACAGGAAGTTGTATTTTCACGGTAATTGTATTCTCTTTCTGCATATTAATTAAAGGTCATAATTTTGTTTATTATCTTCCTTCCTTCCTTGTGAGATTAATGTTAGTTATTTTTAATGTTTCGGCTCTTTCTTTACTTTATGTTCACTATTTTCTTAACATAAAAAATTTAATTAAAAAAAACAGTCATTACTTTGTTGTTTTTGATGAATCTGTATTGATAGAATGTTTTTTTAAATATTTATTTTAAAAGTTTTTTTCTCTTCTTTGTCCTAGAGATTCTTTACCATATCATTATTTATTTATATTATTATTATCTATTATATTTGAGACCTTAAAGAATTGAAGGTTTTGACATAGTTGAGATCTTATGTCCCAGCGTGGGTTCCGAGGCCCCATTGTAGGGAAAACAAGAGTAGATCCACTGCCTGCCCAGGCATGACATAAGTCAACGAATTGGGGGTTCCCTTTGAAGTGTATCTACCTGAGAGGCAAGGAACCTACAGCCTGAATACAAACAGGCCAGATCTGTAAATATTCACACGTCTCAGATTCTGGAACAAGACTAGGGTCCTGAGGTGGACGAACAACCAGAACTTTCTGCCAGATTGTACAGCCAGTGAATGTGAAAAAGAAATCTTATGCTTCATTTAAGAATAAAATGTGAAAGATAACTGGCACAGTAGACTCATAATATCATATGTGGTCACCAGCTTCTATATGTTTATATCTTCTTTCTTTTTCTTCTCTGTCTCATCAAATGGAGCATAGGCCTTCAACCTGTTTTTATAATTGATTTCATTTCTCAGTTTTTCTGAAGTTTTGTGGGTCCTGGTGACAGGTCGCCAAGATTTTGCTGTGGGCCTTTTACATGTTTAGAAGAGTAGATATTTTCTAGAACTACTCTGCCATTCCTTATAATGAAAATGTATATGATAATAACAATAAGCTTGTTAATTCTAGTGGTTTGTGATGTGCATAACTATCTTGTATTGTTGTCACTAAGGGGCAGATGATGTGCATAACTATCTTGTATTGTTGTCACTAGGGGGCAGATGATGTGCATAACTATCTTGTATTGTTGTCACTAGGGGGCAGATGATGCTCTGGTGAAGATTTGGAGCACATTTGACATGAGGCTCCTGGCAACGCTGCGAGGTCACTCAGCTGAAATCACAGATATGGCAGTTTCCTATGAGAACACTTTGCTTGCCAGTGGCAGCTGCGATAAAGTTGTTAGAGTCTGGTGTTTGAGGTCCAAGGCCACGGCCGCAGTTCTGCAAGCTCACTCCAGCATGATCACATCTGTACAGGTTTGTCAGCATTTTTATTTTGTCGCTTGCCAGTTTGTACAAAGAAAAGATTAAAAAACAAACAAAAACAGTGGTATGCAGATGCATCACCTCTTGCCAGCGCTCATGTTGCACAAATATTTTTATGTCTCAGTGTGGTCATCATATTAACGGGTTGCCTATTATTTGCTTGGTTGAGTGTTTTTTTTTAAAAACCGTCAGTGGAAGTCTCTTTAACCCTGAGCAGTGTTATCTTTATTATCATAATTTGTTTTCAATTTTAACTTTTCAGTTTTGTCCGAAGTCAATTGGTGATACTCGTTACCTTGTGTCAACCGGCAACGATGGATGCGTCTGCTTCTGGCAGTTTAACTGTCGGAGCAATGTGTTCAGGTAAAATCTTGTCTTACACAGTTGGTTTCCTATTTTCTCTTAGCTTCTAGGTCAAACTTGTCTTCTGATTATTGCTTTCAATTATATTCCTTCATTTCATCGCAGGCACCAGCTAATTATTGTTTGCAGTTGATTAATAATTGTTTTGGTAATTTTAAATGCAGAAAACCTTAAAATCGAATCTGTCATCAGGTCATGATATTAAAGAGCGTCTGTCTCAGAATTGATTGGCAGTTGACAAGACAGGAGACTGGGGACAGATATAATGGCACACACCAACAGCTTGGTTTATAAGATGGTATAAAGGAGCTGGGACAGATATAATGGCACACACCAACAGCTTGGATTATAAGATGGTATAAAGGAGCTGGGACAGATATAATGGCACACACCAACAGCTTGGATTATAAGATGGTATAAAGGAGCTGGGACAGATATAATGGCACACACCAACAGCTTGGATTATAAGATGGTATAAAGGAGCTGGGACAGATATAATGGCACACACCAACAGCTTGGATTATAAGATGGTATAAAGGAGCTGGGACAGATATAATGGCACACACCAACAGCTTGGATTATAAGATGGTATAAAGGAGCTGGGACAGATATAATGGCACACACCAACAGCTTGGATTATAAGATGGTATAAAGGAGACTGGGGACAGATATAATGGCACACACCAACAGCTTGGATTATAAGATGGTATAAAGGAGACTGGGGACAGATATAATGGCACACACCAACAGCTTGGATTATAAGATGGTATAAAGGGAGCTGGGACAGATATAATGGCACACACCAACAGCTTGGATTATAAGATGGTATAAAGGAGCTGGGACAGATATAATGGCACACACCAACAGCTTGGATTATAAGATGGTATAAAGGAGCTGTTGGTTATCTCCTATACGCTGTTTGGGTTTCCTTTGTTGGTTTCTGAGCCCCATTTTGTAGCATATCATAGGTGGCCAATATTTAGGTGTGTTGCTTATGAAGTGCCAGTGCGTTAACCTGAGAGGTGAGGAACCAACAGTCTGCAAAGAAATATGTAAAATGAATGTGCATGCAAAACTCATGATGTGGAACAAGACCAAAGTCCAGAAGTGGATGAACAACCAGAAATTTCCACCAGAGTTTACAGCCGGTGAACGTCAACAAAAGGAAAATTGATTCCATGTCATTTGTTTAGTTATCTTTGTAAACTTTGCATGTTTGTTGCAGTCGTAAACAATACAGTCCAGTTTTGTGCAGGCACCACACAGTAGTATTAATACTTTACATATCCTAAGATTAGTACTAACTCTTTTATTTTATTTTTACTTCCAAAAATCTCTCAGTTTTGAAAGTTCCTCAACTTTTATATTTATAATTTAGCATCTCAGACTGTTCCCTATCTGTCTGTACCCTGCTGCCTAAATATTTGTGATATGTCATATGGGATAAAACTCAGTGCATTCAAGTTGACCCCGGTACTATTGTATTGTAGCTGCGTAAATAGAAGGAACTAAGACTAACATATTGCAAACATTCTTTAACTGGTGTCTGTTCAGAATAGATGGAATTAAATCAATGATACAAAATACTAATGTTGGGATTTGAGAGAGAAGCAAATTCTACAGAATCAAAAGGTGAAGAAAAGATGTTGGCTTTGGATAGGACACACTGTGAGAAAACCTGGAAACAGTATAACTAAAGGGCTAAATCTGGAACTCACAGGGGCATAGATATAAAAACAGACTCCAAAAAAAAAAAAAGAAAACTAAAGAATGAAGTTAACAAGGTAGGGAGGACAGAGGAAGGTGAGCTGCATATAATAGTAAAGGATAGGACGACTTTTCTTGAGGCCTATGCTCCATTGAGGGGGGGGGGGACATCACCGAAGAAGAAGAAGCTGGGGTAGGGACCACATTACATGTCCCAGGGAGTCTGAAAAACATGGAAGCGGCACTGTTTAACCAGTTGACTCCGGGTGTAAAATAGTCTACTTCTCAACATGGTTTTACAATTTTTGCCTTCTTTAAGATGCCACCCTAAGAAAAGATGGTGGAACTGATCGTGGAGTCAGCGGGTACATTATTTTTGCGGGGCATATTCATCCAAAAATGTTCCAGAATTCTGTTCATTTGCTGCTGCGGTGAGGCAGACCAGAGTGGAGTGATCTCATCTGTGAGGCACATTGACATGATATTTTTCTTTCTGTGTAGCCAAAAGCCAGTGAAGTTTGTGGAGCGATCTCGGGCTGGTGCGCAAATGCTGTGTTCTTCATTCTCTCCAGGAGGAGCATTTCTCGCCACTGGCAACTCCGACCACGTTGTTCGTGTTTACTTTCTTCATTCCATGGGCATTGAGAAGATCTGTGAATTGGAGGCTCACACGGTCAGTTTCTGAATATTGTAACTAGAATCTTGATTTGAAATATTCAGCTCTAATGTTAAGTCAGTGTTGGGGGGGGGGGGGTGGTGTTCCTCAAACGTGGACAACTAAATCAGTTAATAAAAAAAAATACCCCCCCCCCCCCCCCCCCCCCCCCCCCAAATTTTTTTTTTTTATTAACATGTTGAATCATGGGCGACGACCAAAACAGTAACAGGTTTAAAAGAATTATAACTTTTGCCTGCCCAAAATAGAACAAATTAAATGGTGTGACAAAACTGTTTGGAGAACTAAACATTAACAAATATAGAGCTGTCCTGGAGAACTAAACATGCAGCCTCTGTTACAGCGCCACTCTGGCACTACTGTACAGTTGCCACTCTGGCACTACTGTACAGTTGCCACTCTGGCACTACTGTACAGTTGCCACTCTGGCACTACTGTACAGTTACCACTCTGGCACTACTGTACAGTTACCACTCTGGCACTACTGTACAGTTGCCACTCTGGCACTACTGTACAGTTGCCACTCTGGCACTACTGTACAGTTGCCACTCTGGCAATACTTTACAGTAGCCACTCTGGCAATACTTTACAGTTACCACTCTGGCACTACTGTACAGTACACACTCTGGCACTACTGTACAGTACACTCTCTTGCACTACTGTACAGTTGCCACTCTGGCACTACTGTACAGTTACCACTCTGGCACTATTGTACAGTACACACTCTGGCACTACTGTACAGTTACCACTCCGGCACTCCTGTACAGTTGCCACTCTGGCACTACTGCACAGTTACCACTCTGGCACTATTGTACAGTACACACTCTGACACTATTGTACAGTTACCACTCTAGCACTATTGTACAGTGCACACTCTGGCACTACTGTACAGTACACACTCTGGCACTACTGTACAGTTACCACTCTGGCACTACTGTACAGTACACACTCTGGCACTACTGTACAGTTACCACTCTGGCACTATTGTACAGTAGCCACTCTGGCACTACTGTACAGTTACCACTCTGGCACTACTGTACAGTACACACTCTGGCACTACTGTACAGTAGCCACTCTGGCACTATTGTACAGTAGCCACTCTGACACTATTGTACAGTACACACTCTGGCACTACTGTACAGTAGCCACTCTGGCACTACTGTACAGTTACCACTCTGGCACTACTGTACAGTTACCACTCTGGCACTACTGTACAGTACACACTCTGGCACTACTGTACAGTAGCCACTCTGGCATTACTGTACAGAAACCGCCCACAGTTGAAATTGAACCTTGTTACTTTGAGGGTTGTGAAATGCATTCATTAACCCCCTAGACACAGAACCTGCAGTTATGTCTGTGGTTTAAATAATGAAATATGTTTATCTAAACCGTTAGACAGAGATTAGAGACAGCTGTTTAAAAAAAAGCTTATTGTTTACTGCTAACACATGTTTTAGAAAGAATTATGTTGTCGTTTGAGAAACTGTTTAACAGCTATTTACTAAACTGTTTCCCACACAGTGATGGACGATAGTTCTCATCCATTATTGGGTCGTATCTCATCATCATCATGTAGTAGGTTCTTTACAGAACCTCGCTTCCATCGCAGCTTGCGGGAGAGATGCTCGTCTCTTGCCAGCTCTCCTGCCTCGTTCACTTTCCTGCCCAAAGTGTTTCTCATGTCCTGTACCCATCTTTGTGCTTGTCGGCCCCTGCCCCTCTTTCCTGGTACCATGTCTTTTGTTACTCTTCTTTGTGTAATATCTCCCTAGCCACATATTAATGGGCATTATTTGCTCCCAACATATTGTTGACCAAATCTAATTCTGCACATAATTGACAACTATCTTGGTTTCCATTTGCCAGGACAAAGTTGACAGCATCTGTTACAGCAACTGTCTGAACCGCTTTGTCAGTGGCAGCAATGATGGCACAGCAAGGATCTGGCGATATGAACGACAAGAATGGAGAGCAACAGTCCTGAATATGAATGCCAAACTGACCAAGTAAGATTTTCAGTTTACCATTATTCAACTTCTTGTTTTAGCCAGTCTCTTCTTCATCTTCCATTTTTTTAAATGTTACCTTAATGTAATTTTATCATATTTGTTAAAAATCTTTTAAATTCTAAATCCTTATCTGCTTCTTTTTCTTCTTCTGGAAGCTGCCATGGTGTTGGTGGCTAGGTGCTGCTCGCCTGCAGATCCAAAGGTCGGGGGTTCAGATCTTGGTGGGGCAGGTCTTTTCCTCAGAAATGACCTTGGCTCTTAGGTCTACCTAGTCTTTAATGAGTACCAGGTAAAGTCCTGGGAAGTAAAGGTGGCCGTCATGATGCTGATCATATCATCCACTAGTCATCTCATCAACAGACATTCAAGAACCTGCGGACATTCAAGAACCAGCGGATGCCAAGAAGCCACACACATTCAAGAACTATGGCACATTCCTCTTCAGGTCCCGGTTAATCGTCCACTTACACTTTTGGCTTTTACCTGGACCTAGTTTTGCGTGTACAACCGTTTTACTGGCTTTTTCCTTACCCTGCCCCACAGGCAGATGTACTTCGAGTGAAGACGTCAGGCCTATTTCTAGGATGACTGGCCACTGTTTTATGTGGGTCGAAATCTTGCCTGATTTGTGTGATGTCCTCTGACCTTTTCTCTACAGGAGTTGTCTCCAGAGTACCCCTTTTGGGGCATCCCGATGTGGAATGGTTAGCCCTCAAGAGAAGGCAGGGTCAGATCATGGATATTCCCCGCCATCCAAGGAGGCTTCTATAAATGCAGAGCAGACACATGACGCTCTGGTTTTGGGCTCACACAAGGAATCATCACCTCCTGCACGTGTCTGCTTAACCTCACAACCGTATTAGTCCTCCTGCTCGACACCGGCTGCACCCTCCGGAGAGCAGCCCACGGGTGCATTCTTTTTCATCGCACATTTGACATCTCTAACAAGCCGTTAGCGTGACAGAATAGAGAATCCTGCGTCAGGAATATCTTTATCGGTTTCGTCCCAACACTCTAGCGAGTAGGGTCTTGGGATGTGGACATTTGGACTTTTCCCCAATCAATACGATTTATGATGGTTGGATTTTGAGCTTGCTCGTGTGCCATAGGATCTATTTTTTGTCCGCCGATGGACTGTTGCTGTCCTGGTATACCTCAGCGCGGTGACGACAACGCTGAGGGTTGACAGAGGATGTTCATGGTAGAATTTTGCTGGGAGAGGCCCCCACCCCCACAGGAGATGTTAGTCGTCTGAGCTGCGTTTAAATTTAGGAAAGCAGACTTTACTCACGTTCCTAATGAGTTTTGATAAACTTTTTCACCCATGCAGTTGGGGCAGGCTGATGAGAGCCACAAGGATACTCCGAGATCCCCTGACAGCTCTGTTAATGCTCATTTAAGACATTATTCATGGCACACGATGGGGACGTGCAGCAGGAGTCTTGCGTGAGGCTCTGTAAACCAGAACAGTGAAGGACTGGCGCTCCAGTGACCGACGGAGCATCTCCTTATACACATCACGTTAGGCTTAACTTTACCTCACGCCTGTGACAGAAATCATCACTCCACTTGCGGACATTCAAGAACCAACAGACATTCAGGAACCAACAGACATTCAGGAACCAACAGACATTCAAGAACCAGCGGACATTCAAGAACCAACTTACGTACAAGAACCCACAGACATTCAAGAACCAATGGATGTTCAAGAACCAACAGACATTCAAGAACCAATGAATGTTCTAGTACCAACAGACATTCAAGAATCTGCGGACATTCAAGATGCAGAATTTTAAATTTTTATTGTCACATCTTGGGCTAGGTTTGTCTTGTTTAGTGTGAAATGCTGCAGTATCTAACTTCTTGTCCCTGCTATCTCAGATGTCCGCCGACTCCAGAGCAGAACAGAAACGTGACCCAGGATCAGCTGCGAGTGACCATGGTCAGCTGGAGCATGGACGATGCCATGGTGATCACGGCCGTCTCAGATTTCAGCATCAAGGTGTGGAATGCATACACTGGGGCACTTCTGCAAGTCTTGGAGGTAGGTGTTTGTCTAGCTTGTTGTGTGTTTTATGGATACAACAGGAAACTCCTGCAAGTCTTGGAGGTAGGTGTCTATCTAGCTTGCCAGTGTTTTAATGTTTGTAAGTCATTTTCAAGAGGCAGAAGCCAGTGAAAAGTTTAATTATATTGTCCTGTTCTGATTCCTTCTGAAACAAACACTTGGAAAACAAACAAAGGTGAAGAGTTCTCCAGTTTTGGATTTAAATGTCATCAAGACCAGGAAATGCTAAATTAATGGTATTAAAAACTTTAATCCAAGCAGCTGGAATATTATGCAATTTGAATTTAACTCATCAAACAAATTCACATGAAAGGAGACTCAAATAGTAGACTGCACAATTGATTGCCTGGCATATTTCGCTGTATCTCGTCAGGTGCAGACTACGGTAACAATTGATTAAAACGAAGCAAATAACAGAATCCTAGAAACTGAAACACAAAATCGACTACATTCATGAACTGCCTGCTTCACCAAGGTAATTGTAAGGTGACGACCATTTCTTTCCGTCTGCAAAGTTTGGTTTCAGCCGGCTGATCGCTGACGCTTCCGCATATCAGAGTAATATACGGTTGGCCGAATTGTAAATAATTCGAAATGCATCATCCTTGTTTACAATGTGTCTGGAATTTAAAATTTGACATGCAATTGCTGATGATGGATTTTGTCGACCAGTCACCTGATTCGTTGTTGTAAAGGAGATAAGGTTTTGTGTGGCAATGTCAGATTGTTTTGTATGGTATGGCCAAAAGTCACAATTAGCTGAAGAGCACTTGATGCCATTTCCAGGGACATGAGGATGAAGTGTTTGTGGTGGAGGCTTCCCCCAGCGATGCACGCATCCTGCTGAGTGCTGGGCATGATGGGAAGATGATCCTCTGGGACATCTACACTGGAGTCAAGATCAAGAAATTTTTCAATCTGGTAAGTGATGTTTTGTTGCAGTTAATCTAAGTTCATCTTATTTTATTGGCACTACACAGAGCCAACTAAATGCTAAATCCTCGTGAACACTGAGATCTTTACAGATTTTGGTAATTGCCTGAAAAGTAATAGTTTATTTTGAGCTTTTTGGAGTAGGAATTCACATGCGTGCAAATTCTAAAGAGGCAGATAACAGCCTCGGAAATGCCGTTTAGGATGAGATTTCTCAAATGTCACCTAGAGGACTTTGCGTAGTACATGTTCTTCTGCCTTCTGAAAGATTTGCCCCAATAATCATTGAATGTCTCACATATTGATTTTATTTTGTTGATGTCTAGAGATAAGTGTTGTTTTTTATTGACTGACAGATTAGTTGTATTTTACAAATCAGTGTCAGCAGTCTTGGGCTGTCTGACACATCAGATTCCTAGTTGAAATGACATTTATGTGAACACATGCAGTTATTGCTATCCAGCGGGGACATTATTGATTATGTTGATGTCTGCTGCAGATTGAAGGTCAAGGCCATGGTGCTGTGTTTGACTGCAAGTTTTCCCCCGACGGCCACTCCCTGGCCGCCACAGATTCTCACGGACATCTGCTGCTCATGGGATTGGGGACTAATGACAGATGCAAGAAGGTTTGATAGTTTGTTCTCTCTTGTAATGGAAATAAACCCCATCCCTATACTTGTTTAGATATCTGTTTCACAGATAAACCAAGACATGTTTCCCAGCTTGCAAGCCATGATGTTGAGATTTGGTGGACTTGGTCATGAGTCGCAGGTCACCTTCCTGCTGTTGTTGATGATCTTTTACAAGCTTTGGTCATCAGTTGCAAATCACCTTCCTGCTGTTGTTAACGATCTTTTACAACAAGCTTTGGTCATCAGTTGCAAATCACCTTCCTGCTGTTGTTAACGATCTTTTACAACAAGCTTTGGTCATCAGTTGCAAATCACCTTCCTGCTGTTGTTGATGATCTTTTACAACAAGCTTTGGTCATCAGTTGCAGATCACCTTCCTGCTGTTGTTAATGATCTTTTACAACAAGCTTATCTTCTTTTCTTCTTCTTCTCGTTCACCAGCTGTTAACTCTGGCTGAAAATTCTGGTTGTTCAACCACTTTTGGACTGCAGGCCTGTTCCAGAGCCTGGTGTTGTTGTGCATCCATTTTACAGATCTGACATTTATATGCAGACTGCTGGTTCCTTGCCTCTCAGGCAGATGCATTCCAACTTCAAAGGAAGCTCCCAATTAGTCTATTCCCCCCACACAAGGAATACAACAAGCTTATGTAATTTGACATTAGATTCATAAATCTCAACAGTTTTTGTTTCACGCACAGCTCCAAGAATTCTCATCATACCCCACAGCACCAAGAATTCTCATCATATCCCACAGCTCCATGAATTCTCATCATACCTCACAGCTCCAGGAATTCTCACCATACCTCACAGCTCCATGAATTCTCACCATACCTCACACCCCTGTGTTTGACCATGCCCCTTCAAGTTCCCGTGTACTTGTTTATTTTCAGCACTCTTGTCGGGGGAACATAAACAGTACTCACTGTTCTTTGTTCTGTCAGAATGTAACAATCACATAATAATAATAAATACATGTTGTCGTTGAATACACTGGGCGATCTGCTTATGATGGCCAAGAATAGGTTTACTTTGTTAGTCCTGTGTTCCATTAAAAGATTAAGAGCATCTAAAGAAAAAGAAGAATGTGGCCAACAGTGTTCACCTATTTATTGAAATAAATACAGTATTTGTTTCATTAGTTTAAAGTAGACATTTTGTCATTGAGAAATATTTTTGGTATGCTCAAATACCTGGTCTGTTTAGCTGCAGGCTTTTTTTGGCAGCACACTGCTTGCCTTGATTTAAAAAAATGTTATGGAGCAACGATCATTTAGAAAGCAATGGCAAACTACTGACTGCAAAATTGCCTAATAAAACCACAAATAGCTAATAAATGTCTGGGTTGGTTTGCAATGCCCAGAAGAGAATATTCAGTTAACTTAAAAATGTTATAAGAAATGTTTTTGCTAGGCACTGTATGTATGTGCTAGACACTGTATGTATGTTTTATTATTTTGTGTGTCCACTTATGATTTGCATTTGTAAATCTCCGAAACCCTGTTCAGCTGTACAGCCATACAGTACAGTTATATTGAGGCACCACAGAACAAAGCAACCTATAGTCTACAGTGCACCGGTTATATGAGGAATGATGTGTGTATGTATGTATGTATACTGTATATATATTCTTAAGTTTACAATTTAAAGACATTTGGTATTTACTTGATCTAGAATTAATACATATTTTGTTTCATACAGAATTAGTTCATTGGTACATATTGTGTTTACCCAACTTCAGATTCCACAGCAGCTTTTCTTCCACACGGATTACCGCCCTTTAATACGAGATGCCAACAATTATGTTCTCGATGAGCAAACGCAACAGCCACCCCACCTCATGCCTCCGCCTTTCCTGGTTGACATTGATGGCAACCCGTACCCGGCAAATATCCAGCGTCTGGTGCCAGGCCGGGAGAACTGTAACGATGCAAGTTTGGTTCCACAGATAGTTGTTAACGCACATGGTAATGTCTGTCTGTCTGAATTTGTCTTATGTTTGAGTTAATCAGTGTCTGGGGTTGGACACATTTTTTGGGCAGTAATGCAGATAAAGAGGGAGAACTGATAGAGATATTAAAATACTGAAGGCAAGAGAAGCTTTCATAGCGCTAGGAAATTTGTGTAGGTCAACTAAGTTAAAATTAATAGAAAACTTGAATTTTTTACATTCTAATGTCAAAACAGTACTGTTGTTTGGAGCGGAAACATGGAGAGCAGCTTAAGGCAATTACTAAAAGACTACAAACATTCATTAACTGGTGCCTGCTTAAAATAGAGGGAATTAAATTGTATGATAGAATCACTAATGTAGAGCTTTGGGAGAGAACTAAATAAGCTCCAGTGGACCAAGAGGTGAAGAAAAGACGCTGTCGTTTGTCATTGGATGGACACTCGTTCAGAAACCTGAGAACAATATAGCTAGAATGTCTTTACACTGGAACCCACAGGGGCATAGAAATAAAAAAAAGCCACACAAAAAAAGCACACGGAGAAAGGGGCTAGAGAGTTCAAAAGATGGTGATGACATAGAGAAAGCTGCATGCTATAGGGAAGGATAGAACCACTTGTTATGTGTTATTTGAGGTACTGTGCTCCACTGGGGGTAAGAAGGCAAAAGTAGAAGTCATCAATGCATGTTGTGGTACATAACATTGATATGTCAGTGCACACAGTAATTTACGGTCTTCATTTGTGTCACATAATATATCAGTGCACATGGTAATTTACGGTCTTCATTTGTGTCACATAATATATCAGTGCTCACAGTTGTTGTTGTTGTTATCGATCACGCGGCGCATGAGCTTTCGCCCTTTGGCCCAATGCCATGTAGTGGAATTTGCATGTTTTCACAAGCTGTTCTTTTCCTCCGTACAAGGTGTTCCACTTGTCTGGTCTCGGAGGGAGTAGCGTTCTTCTTGTCTCACTGAGTTTTGGGCACTCAAAGAGATGGTGTTCAACATTTTCATCAGTGCTCACAGTAATTTACAGTCTTAATTTGTGTCACATAAATTAATATATCAGTGCACACAGTAATTTACAGACTTCATTTGTGTCACATAAATTAATATATCAGTGCACATGGTAATTTATGGTCTTCATTTGTGTTACATAAATTAATATATCATTGCACATGGTAATTTATGGTCTTCATTTGTGTCACATAAATTAATATATCAGTGCACATGGTAATTTATGGTCTTCATTTGTGTTACATAAATTAATATATCAGTGCACATGGTAATTTATGGTCTTCATCTGTGTTACATAAATTAATATATCATTGCACATGGTAATTTATGGTCTTCATTTGTGTCACATAAATTAATATAGTGCACATGGTAATTTATGGTCTTCATTTGTGTTACATAAATTAATATATCAGTGCACATGGTAATTTATGGTCTTCATTTGTGTTACATAAATTAATATATCAGTGCACATGGTAATTTATGGTCTTCATTTGTGTTACATAAATTAATATATCAGTGCACATGGTAATTTATGGTCTTCATTTGTGTCACATAAATTAATATATCAGTGCACATGGTAATTTATGGTCTTCATTTGTGTCACATAAATTAATATATCAGTGCACATGGTAATTTATGGTCTTCATTTGTGTCACATAAATTAATATATCAGTGCACATGGTAATTTATGGTCTTCATTTGTGTCACATAAATTAATATATCAGTGCACATGGTAATTTATGGTCTTCATTTGTGTTACATAAATTAATATATCATTGCACATGGTAATTTATGGTCTTCATTTGTGTCACATAAATTAATATATCAGTGCACATGGTAATTTATGGTCTTCATTTGTGTCACATAAATTAATATATCAGTGCACATGGTAATTTATGGTCTTCATTTGTGTTACATAAATTAATATATCAGTGCACATGGTAATTTATGGTCTTCATTTGTGTTACATAAATTAATATATCAGTGCACATGGTAATTTATGGTCTTCATTTGTGTTACATAAATTAATATATCAGTGCACATGGTAATTTATGGTCTTCATTTGTGTTACATAAATTAATATATCAGTGCACATGGTAATTTATGGTCTTCATTTGTGTCACATAAATTAATATATCAGTGCACATGGTAATTTATGGTCTTCATTTGTGTCACATAAATTAATATATCAGTGCACATGGTAATTTATGGTCTTCATTTGTGTTACATAAATTAATATATCAGTGCACATGGTAATTTATGGTCTTCATTTGTGTCACATAAATTAATATATCAGTGCACATGGTAATTTATGGTCTTCATTTGTGTTACATAAATTAATATATCAGTGCACATGGTAATTTATGGTCTTCATTTGTGTTACATAAATTAATATATCATTGCACATGGTAATTTATGGTCTTCATTTGTGTCACATAAATTAATATATCAGTGCACATGGTAATTTATGGTCTTCATTTGTGTTACATAAATTAATATATCAGTGCACATGGTAATTTATGGTCTTCATTTCTGTTACATAAATTAATATATCAGTGCACATTGTAATTTATGGTCTTCATTTGTGTTACATAAATTAATATATCAGTGCACATGGTAATTTATGGTCTTTATTTGTGTCACATAAATTAATATATCAGTGCACATGGTAATTTATGGTCTTCATTTGTGTTACATAAATTAATATATCAGTGCACATGGTAATTTATGGTCTTCATTTGTGTTACATAAATTAATATATCATTGCACATGGTAATTTATGGTCTTCATTTGTGTTAAATAAATTAATATATCAGTGCTCATGGTAATTTATGGTCTTCATTTGTGTCACATAAATTAATATATCAGTGCACATGGTAATTTATGGTCTTCATTTGTGTTACATTAATTAATATATCATTGCACATGGTAATTTATGGTCTTCATTTGTGTCACATAAATTAATATATCAGTGCACATGGTAATTTATGGTCTTCATTTGTGTCACATAAATTAATATATCAGTGCACATGGTAATTTATGGTCTTCATTTGTGTTACATAAATTAATATATCATTGCACATGGTAATTTATGGTCTTCATTTGTGTTACATAAATTAATATATCAGTGCACATGGTAATTTATGGTCTTCATTTGTGTTACATAAATTAATATATCAGTGCACATGGTAATTTATGGTCTTCATTTTTGTTACATAAATTAATATATCAGTGCTCATGGTAATTTATGGTCTTCATTTGTGTCACATAAATTAATATATCAGTGCACATGGTAATTTATGGTCTTCATTTGTGTTACATAAATTAATATATCAGTGCTCAGGGTAAGGCTGTTTTAGGTTAAAAATGTTTTTAATGCACAGTGACCATATAAAGTGACAAGGCAACTACTCAGTGACAAAACATTACGTCTGGTGTTACGGAGTTCATGCACTTTCGGACTCAGGCTTCAGTTAGATGTAGAACAGGGCAATTAGGGGTTACTACCCTTGTGCCATGATGTTCATACGTTGTATAAACCATAAACCAAACCGTAAACCAATTGTGTGTTACAGAAACTAATATGACAGTGCACACAGTAAGGTAATGCCTAATTTGTCACATATCAATGCACAATGTAATTTAATATCCTACTTTGTGCTACACAAATTACTATGTCAGTGCACACCACAAGTATGTTGTCTCTTAATTTGTGTTATATAAATTAATATTCCTGGACCAGGAATGCGTGTATCAAAGCAAGGACAACATATTTCTGAAAGGATTTACCTTGTGTGGGTTCAGACAACCCCAGTTCGGAAGGGGGGGGGGGGGGAGGGGATAGACTCACTGCCCCTGTCTAAGCATGTTGTAAAAGGTGACTATGTAAGTATGTGCTGATTTTCTGTGTGGCAGAAGTCGAAGGTGTCACAGTTTAGCTGTAAACTAAACACAACATGCCAACGACAATTTGAAGGGCAAACAGCAAAGAAGAGGAAAAATGTCAATCTTCTGATGATTAAAAGCCTTCTGTTGTGCATGTTCTGTCAACGATGTTTGCTACATTGCTCATTTTTAATTTATAATTTCTTCATGAGGGACAATGTTTGTTGCTGCTCCTGCAGGTGAGTCAGAAGTCATAGGTGACATTGATGTGGAAGGTCGAGTGGAGCCACCACAAGTTCCAAATGGAGATGTGGAATCAGAGGCTGATGATGATGAAGAGGATGATGAAGAGGATGATGACAGAGACGTGAGGCCTGGGTCCATGCGAATCTCCAGATCTGTTGCCAGACCCAGTATAGATGTGATGATTGAAGAGCTCCAGCGGCAGCAGGATCAGAGGCTGAGGCAGGATCAAAGACCCCGGCAGGATCCAGGCAGCAGTAGTCGGCGCAGTGTCCAAGTGATGTCACCACCTCAGTTATCATCCCCGTTTACCCCAAGGTCCAACTTGCAGAGTGAGTTTCTTATGTGGCTGTTTTCTCAGCATATGTGCTTCTTTTATCATAAGATATGGCTATTTTGTCATTGTATGTGCTTCTTTTATTATCAAGTATGATATTCACAATTTCAACTGAGCATCTTGACTGATTTATTGCCGCTCTCTTGATGTCATTTTTGTCTACTATACAGATCGCATTGGGATGCGGCGCAGTGGAGAAATCGAGGGTGTTCGCCAGTCACTGGGAAATGTTGCTGTGCGATCTACCAAGAAGGAGCGAGATGCTGCCAGACGACATGTCACTGTGAGGCCATTAGATCTGGACTCTCTGAAGTAGGTCATCACGCTTAAAACATGAAACTTTTGTGTTTGAAGCTTTGTTGACAGTCCCTGCAGTAATCGAAGTACAATGTAATGCTGTGTGATCAGGTTCACATTGTTAATGATGAAGATGGCCGGTGATTGGTGATTTATTTGACAGTGCCGTATTATTTATCTTCCAATAAATTGATCACGTGCTCAGACAGATTTTTAAATTGATCTGAGCCTAGAAAGTTTATGGGAAATAAAAGGGATATTGACCTCATTACACCCCTCACATGCCAAATCATAACAATTCACTAATTAGGGGGTTATTTCCTTCAGCGTTGGAGTGCTTTTGCCTTAGAGGCAAGAACCAAAAATCGGCATTCAAATAAGTCAGATCTGCTTAATTGTTGTGGAACTATAGTTCCAGAACAAGACCAAAATCAATTTATGTTCTCATGACAACAGTAAATTTTACGTTTATGTTCACATGACAACAGAAAGTTTATACATTTGCGTTTACATGACAACCAACAGTTTATACATTTGTGATCTCATGACAAGAGACAGTTTATAGATTGATGGTCATATGACAACAGACAGTTTTTAAATTGATGTTCAAATGATAACAGTTTATAAAGTGATGTTCACTTGGCAAAGACAATTTATAAATTGATGTTTACATGACAACAGATAGTTTATAAATTGATGTTTACATGACAACAGACAGTTTATAAATTGATGTTCACATGAGAACAGTTTATAAATTGATGTTCACGTGGCAACAGGCAGTATATAAATTTATGTTCACATGACAACAGACAGTTTATAAATTTATGTTCACATGACAACAGACAGTTTATAAATTTATGTTCACATGACAACAGACAGCTTTAAATTGATTTTCACGTGACAGCAGGTAGTATATAAATTGATGTTCATGTGACAACAGAAGTTTATAAATTGATGTTCACGTGGCAACAGACAGTTTATAAATTGCTGTTCACGTGACAATAGACAGTTTATTTTTACATGACAACTGTATGTTTATCTGTTTATGTCAACAGGGCTGAAGAAGAGAAACGTTCAGCATACGGAGAGGATGAAATAAAAAGATTTTTATCTGAACGCAAGAAAAAATTGTTGTCACCATATGAGGTAGGCAACTATAACCGTGTTGGGAAATCACATACATATACTGGTATGTTTGGTGTATAAACGTTACATAAACATCACATTTTATTGGTGTGAATGTTTGTACAATTACTACCTGGCAAAATGGAACATTAAACAAGACTGGATCTGGTTTAGCTGGCAAATGTGGACCCTGGCAAGATGATCTGGGAGTTAAGAATCAGATAAACAGATATGCATGTCATTGGGGATAATGTACACACGGGATACGGGATTGAAGGTAATATTAACCCTCTGGAGACGGAGTCTTTTTGGTGTTTCAGTGGCAAAAATACGAAGTCTTCAGGAAGGGTTTCTCACAGTTTATACACAAATTATTTTAAACACGCGTTTAATTACCATATAAAAAAATATATATATTTGTGTAGGAAATTTAATGAGCTGACATAATATTTATGAATCAAACTGAAACCTCAACATTTATTTAAATTAACTTTTCTGATTTCCTTAATTTATGCAAGCATTTTTGTTTTTAAAACTTGGGAACAAACATGACTAATAAAAAACAAAACAAAAAAATTGGGTGAATTTCTTTATGGATGAAGCTTAAATAAGTCCTAACACTTGTGTTTTGGAAAGCAATGCCTTTGGAGGTCCTTCAGAAACTTCTTGCACATGGTTATACTCATTTCCCTGCCTTCAGCTATGTTTTGGTTGCTATGAAACAGCAGTCCCTATCACCATTGTTGGGCACAGGTAACCCCAGACAAAAATTGATGTAATAAAACCGAACGCATCAGACGTTCTCGAAAGCTGTCAGTGAACAGCCCACATGTGCAAGAAATGTGAGAAGCAATCTGATTGGCTATTATGAAAACCTGCCAGCCAATCTCATGGCTTGTGTTACATATTGGCCACTTTGTGTCGGGCCGATATTTCGGCCGCGTAGTTCCCAAAGGGTTAACTAGAAATAAATAATTGGGGTATAATATAGCTAAGAGCTGGGTGATTGGGAATAGTGCAAATTAGACTAGAGGACTGGGGATAATACAGATGTAAATGATTGGGGTATAATATAGGCTAGAGCTGGGTGATTAGGGATAATGTAGACTTGAGATACAGCATTGAGGATAATAAAGATACTAGAAATAAATGTTTGGGGAAGCTATAGACTAGAAATAAATAATATCAAAATAACAAGATGGCTAGAGATTGTATCAATATGAACTACAAGGTCATATGTTAATGTACATTGGAGTCAGTCAGTAGAGTTGTTGAAGTGTTAGGAATATTACAAGTTTCATGTTCTCCTAAAACAACAGAGCACAGCAGAGAACTGAAGAATAGCAGACGGCGATCTCTGCTGATGTCTGACATATATTTTTGTTTTACAGACGAACACAGCAAGTATTTTAGAAACCAAGAAAAGAGGTCAAAAGTCAAAGAAGGCGTCAGACAGGCAGAGGGAAGAAGATGTTCCTGAAAATGTGGAGACTGCCAGAAATCGGCTGACTACCAGGGCTTTGTACGATACAGAGGAGGAGGCAAGTATCGTTTACTTTGTGCCTTTCAAGATGTCTGTCAACTAACGTGGTCATGACTCCAGAAATGGAGTATAAAGAATGCAGCTGGTCACCAGGAAGGCAGATGAGGATACTTTCCAATATTTGACTTCCCACAGGAATGTCAATGTCTACAGCTTTTGGCTTCTGCAAGGAGAGAGTGAGCACTGATATGCTCACCTCAAGTGCAGTGACATTGATTGTTTATCATTGTCTTTATAAATGGACAGAATCATTTTCTGTGTTTTTTTTTTTTTGGTTTAATTTTTCTGATGATCTTGTTTTAGTCCTCATTTTATTGTAGTCTATATTTTCTCCAGTCAGGCTGTTATAAACTTGTCCCAAGTACGGTGACATTGATCCTTCATAATCGTAATCCAGGTGACCGACCACTTTGTCCATGTCTGACAGTCTGTGGTTGTATTCAGTAGGTCACGACGTTTGCTGACCATCCCCAGCATTAGTTGCCATATTTGTGATTTTAATGGTCGACGTTGAAACCGTTATTGAAATTTGAAAACTTGGTATGTTTGGCAAAATGTGTAAGTGGTATAAGTTGCCACCCCCCCCCCCCCCCCCCCCCCACCCCACAACTCCAGTTAAGTTTTTGTTTATCCATATATTTGAAGTTTATTTATTTGCTATTCAGCACATAATTTGTGTGTGTGTTAATGTTGTTGTTATTACCATAATCATTATGTGCTCACACAAGGGCATAGGTCATGCCAGCTGGAAAGGTCAGGGATGAGTAAAACTGTTGGGCTGAGAGAGATGATGATGACGGTCCAGTCTGTGATTTGGACGAATATCATGAATAGAAACGATCCTGGTCTGGTCCAGCTAATGCCATCTAGCAAGGCACATGATAATGATGATGATGATGACCTTGCAGTAACCTGTCTAAGAGGGCTGTGTTTTTAACGTTTGTTTCTGAGATTTGTTTATGTTTATGTATCTGTGTGTGCATATTTTTTTAATACAAATATCAAAATAATGTTTCCACAGGAGGAGGAAGATGGAGGTTCTGATTTAGACCTGTGGAATAGGTAACTAATTTACACATTGATTATGTTCTCATTATGAATTCACATTGTGTTTATATTTGTGTTCACATCATTCCCCGCCCACTGATAGGTAGCCTAGCCAGGGCGTTCTTGGCTAGATGTGTTGTCCAGTTTTTGGCCGTCAGTGACTTCTTAAGTTCTTTTTCTAGGTTTCCCTCTGCTTCTTAGTGTTTTCACAAGTGGATGAACACCCAGAATCTTCTGCCGCAGTTTGCAGCACTAAGAAGAAGAAGAGGCCATGCAAAGTCATTTTGGAATGTTTGTGGGACATGCTAATTTTGTGCACAATCATGCATTGCCAAATGTATCTAAAAGGTGCAAGGCGTCACAGGCAAAAATATACATGAAAGTCACAGTGGACAGGGAACACCTTCTACCTGAGACTTGGATGTGGGGGTTGAAGGGGGGGGGGGGGAATAAGGCATATTGGCATAGAAAAAGTAGCTCTTGGATGGCATTGGCAGAAGTGACTATCAGCAATGCTTGTTGTTAATGACAAAATGGCACATGGCGAGGAATGGGCAGCAGTGCTGCCCAGTAAAGCAGTTCTGCACAGAGGGACAGTTACCTTCGATCGAGGATGCCAGAAATGGATAGATGATGGAACAGATGACAGTAACATTATTGTGTACATAGGGGACTCTGTAGTGAGATAAAACAAAGAGTGGGTGGGTTTTTTTTTTTTGGTAACCGTGAATGGGCGTTATTTAAGAGAACCTGTCTTATAAAATGACAAGATCCAAAATGAGAATGAAAGTGGAGGCAGTAATGGCAGCTCTTTATCACAGCCTGACATATTACAATCGTAATGGACTCACAGAGCATGCTTTGAAAAATAGAAACTGTCCTATGCATACAGTGACTTGCCTCGCTGGATAAGAGTCCAATCAGGAGCATAGGATTTTGTGTATGTCCCGGAAATTCATGTGTAAGGGCAAATAAAAAATCTTATATGTTAGCAGCTGTTGCTCCTCCAGGCGGTGAGCTGCTTTACCTTCAAGTCTAATTCAGCAGGGGGTAAGTGGAGATTCAGGACAATATTCAAGGGGGGCAAAACAGGGGGAGATAATCAGCTTGCAGCTGGCGCTTTTAGCGTGGGGACTTTTTTTTGGCCACTGAGAAAGGACATAGAACCTGTTTGGAAATGTCGAGAGTGCTGTGATGCTTGGCATTTGTTGGTCATGCTGTGATGCTTGGCATTTGTTGGTCGTGCTGTGATGCTTGGCATTTGTTGGTCGTGCTGTGATGCTTGGCATTTGTTGGTCATGCTGTGATGCTTGGCATTTGTTGGTCATGCTGTGATGCTTGGCATTTGTTGGTTGTGCTGTGATGCTTGGCATTTGTTGGTCATGCTGTGATGCTTGGCATTTGTTGGTCGTGCAGTGATGCTTGGCATTTGTTGGTTGTGCTGTGATGGGAGAGGTCAGTGAGATATTGACCACACTCTCATAAATGCTGATTGGTCTTAGGTCTTAGAATATAGGGCTAGCACCATATGTACAGTAACCTCAAGGCTTGGAGACGGATCCTTTAGTGATGAGATAGAGGATTGTGGAGGATTGTGACAGTGAGGATGATTCAAGGGGGTTGTAAAGGATTGTGGCAGTGAAGATGATTCAAGGGTGTTAGAAACAGGGGGTTGTAGAAGGTTGTGACAACTAGGATGATTCAAGGGTGTTAGAAACAGGGGGTTGTAGAAGGTTGTGACAACTAGGATGATTCAAGGGTGTTAGAAACAGGGGGTTGTAGAAGGTTGTGACAACTAGGATGATTCAAGGGTGTTAGAAACAGGGGGTTGTAGAAGGTTGTGACAACTAGGATGATTCAAGGGTGTTAGAAACAGGGGGTTGTAGAAGGTTGTGACAACTAGGATGATTCAAGGGTGTTAGAAACAGGGGGTTGTAGAAGGTTGTGACAACTAGGATGATTCAAGGGTGTTAGAAACAGGGGGTTGTAGAAGGTTGTGACAACTAGGATGATCCAAAAGGTGTTAGAGACAGGGGGTTGTAGAAGGCTGTGGCAACTATAATGATCCAAAAGGTGTTAGAGGGCTGTAGAAGGCTGTGGCAACTAGGATGATTCAAGGATGTTACAGACGGAGGGAAGTAGAAAGTTGTGGCGACTAGGATGATTCAAGGGTGTTAGAGACAGAGGGAGTGAATTTCGGATGGAAAGGACATTCAGAAGGCTAACTTATCGAGTACAGGGGACACCTGAATTGTGTAGAGACGTGGATGCCTTTGCCCACTTCACACAGCGCATGATGATAATTAAATTTTATGTGGCAAGTCTGATAGTCATATATTGGAAACTATCCTCCATTTTCGATACCCTTTTTCAGTAGTCATTTCTTTAGACGAATTTCTGATAGTTTGTTGTTATTTTTCAAATATACATCGTCATGTGAAAATGTTGGAGCAACTCCTGCCGTAATTGTTGCAGTGAGAACACCAGCGACGATTATTCTGACTGGGTGGGGGACCAGGCCGACAGCAACTTGGAGCCTCCCAAACGACGGTCTCAGAGGAAGAGGGTTCGAAGACGCTTATACTCATCTTCAAATGATGATGATGAGGGTGACAAGTCAGACAGCTCGACAACAGAAGAGAGCAGTGAAGAGGAGAAAGAGGATGGTGGTAATGATGAACCTTCAACTTCCTCCAGGCGGGAGTTGAAGCAGAAAACAGCTAGTCAGAACAACACAGGCAAGAAGAAACAAAAAACTAAAAAGGTGGGTTGTTGTAGCTGAGACTGTTGTTGTTGCTGAGACTGTTGTTGTTGCTGAGACTGTTGTTGTTGCTGAGACTGTTGTTGTTGCTGAGACTGTTGTTGTTGTAGCTGAGACTGTTGTTGCTGAGACTGTTGTTGTTGTTGCTGAGACTGTTGTTGTAGCTGAGACTGTTGTTGTTGTTGTTGCTGAGACTTGTTTTTGTAGCTGAGACTGTTGTTGTTGTTGCTAAGATTGTTGTTGTTGTTGCTGAGACTGTTGTTGTTGCTGAGACTGTTGTTGTTGTAGCTGAGACTGTTGTTGCTGGGACTGTTGTTGTTGTTGCTGAGATTGTTGTTGTTGCTGAGACTGTTGTTGTTGCTGAGACTGTTGTTGTTGCTGAGACTGTTGTTGTTGTTGCTGAGACTGTTGTAGCTGAGACTGTTGTTGTTGTAGCTGAGACTGCTGTTGTTGTAGCTGAGACTGTTGTTGTTGCTGAGACTGTTGTTGCTGTTACTGAGACTGTTGTTGTTGTAGCTGAGACTGTCGTTGTTGGGACTGCTGTTGTTGTTTGCTGAGACTGTTGTTGCTGAGACTGTTGTTGTTGCTGCTAAAACTGCTGTTGTTGTTGCTGCTGAGACTGCTGTTGTTGCTGCTGAAACTGCTGTTGTTGTTGCTGCTGAGACTGCTGTTGTTGTTGCTGCTAAGGCTGTTGTTGTTGTAGCTGAGACTGTTGTTGTTGTTGCTGAGACTGTTGTTGTTGCTGAGACTGTTGTTGTTGCTGAGAGCTGTTGTTGTTGCTGAGACTGTTGTTGTTGTTGCTGAGACTGTTGTTGCTGAGACTGTTGTTGTTGTTGGGACTGCTGTTGTTGTTGCTGAGACTGTTGTTGTAGCTGAGACTGTTGTTTTTGTAGCTGGGACTGTTGTTGGCTGGGACTGTTGTTGCTGTTGCTGAGACTGTTGTTGTTGTTGCTGAGACTGTTGTTGTTGCTGAGACTGTAGTTGTTGTAGCTGAGACTGTTGTTGCTGGGACTGTTGTTGTTGTTGCTGAGATTGTTGTTGTTGTTGCTGAGACTGTTGTTGTTGCTGAGACTGTTGTAGCTGAGACTGTTGTTGTTGTAGCTGAGACTGTTGTTGTTGTTGCTGAGACTGTTGTTGTAGCTGAGACTGTTGTTGTTGCTGAGACTGTTGTTGTTGTTGCTGAGACTGTTGTTGCTGTTACTGAGACTGTTGTTGTTGGGACTGCTGTTGTTGTTGCTGAGACTGTTGTTGTAGCTGAGACTGTTGTTGTTGGGACTGCTGTTGTTGTTGCTAAGACTGTTGTTGTTGCTGAGACTGCTGTTGTTGTTGCTGAGACTGTTGTTGTTGTTGTTGTTGCTGAGACTGTTGTTGTTGCTGAGAGCTGTTGTTTTTGTAGCTGGGACTGTTGTTGCTGTTGCTGAGACTGTTGTTGTTGTTGCTGAGACTGTTGTTGTTGCTGAGACTGTTGTTGTTGTAGCTGAGACTGTTGTTGCTGAGATTGTTGTTGTTGTTGCTGAGACTGTTGTTGTTGCTGAGTCTGTTGTTGTCGTTGTTGGGACTGCTGTTGTTGTTTGCTGAGACTGTTGTTGCTGAGACTGTTGTTGTTGCTGCTAAAACTGCTGTTGTTGTTGCTGCTGAGACTGCTGTTGTTGCTGCTGAAACTGCTGTTGTTGTTGCTGCTGAGACTGCTGTTGTTGTTGCTGCTAAGGCTGTTGTTGTAGCTGAGACTGTTGTTGTTGTTGCTGAGACTGTTGTTGTTGCTGAGACTGTTGTTGTTGCTGAGAGCTGTTGTTGTTGCTAAGACTGTTGTTGTTGTTGCTGAGACTGTTGTTGCTGAGACTGTTGTTGTTGTTGGGACTGCTGTTGTTGTTGCTGAGACTGTTGTTGTAGCTGAGACTGTTGTTTTTGTAGCTGGGACTGTTGTTGGCTGGGACTGTTGTTGCTGTTGCTGAGACTGTTGTTGTTGTTGCTGAGACTGTTGTTGTTTCTGAGACTGTAGTTGTTGTAGCTGAGACTGTTGTTGCTGGGACTGTTGTTGTTGTTGCTGAGATTGTTGTTGTTGTTGCTGAGACTGTTGTTGTTGCTGAGACTGTTGTAGCTGAGACTGTTGTTGTTGTAGCTGAGACTGTTGTTGTTGTTGCTGAGACTGTTGTTGTAGCTGAGACTGTTGTTGTTGCTGAGACTGTTGTTGTTGTTGCTGAGACTGTTGTTGCTGTTACTGAGACTGTTGTTGTTGGGACTGCTGTTGTTGTTGCTGAGACTGTTGTTGTAGCTGAGACTGTTGTTGTTGGGACTGCTGTTGTTGTTGCTAAGACTGTTGTTGTTGCTGAGACTGTTGTTGTTGTTGCTGAGACTGTTGTTGTTGCTGAGAGCTGTTGTTTTTGTAGCTGGGACTGTTGTTGCTGTTGCTGAGACTGTTGTTGTTGTTGCTGAGACTGTTGTTGTTGCTGAGACTGTTGTTGTTGTAGCTGAGACTGTTGTTGCTGAGATTGTTGTTGTTGTTGTTGCTGAGACTTGTTTTTGTAGCTGAGACTGTTGTTGTTGTTGCTAAGATTGTTGTTGTTGTTGCTGAGACTGTTGTTGTTGCTGAGACTGTTGTTGTTGTAGCTGAGACTGTTGTTGCTGGGACTGTTGTTGTTGTTGCTGAGACTGCTGTTGTTGTTGCTGAGACTGTTGTTGTTGTTGTTGTTGCTGAGACTGTTGTTGTTGCTGAGACTGTTGTAGCTGAGACTGTTGTTGTTGTAGCTGAGACTGCTGTTGTTGTAGCTGAGACTGTTGTTGTTGCTGAGACTGTTGTTGCTGTTACTGAGACTGTTGTTGTTGTAGCTGAGACTGTCGTTGTTGGGACTGCTGTTGTTGTTTGCTGAGACTGTTGTTGCTGAGACTGTTGTTGTTGCTGCTAAAACTGCTGTTGTTGTTGCTGCTGAGACTGCTGTTGTTGCTGCTGAAACTGCTGTTGTTGTTGCTGCTGAGACTGCTGTTGTTGTTGCTGCTAAGGCTGTTGTTGTTGTAGCTGAGACTGTTGTTGTTGTTGCTGAGACTGTTGTTGTTGCTGAGACTGTTGTTGTTGCTGAGAGCTGTTGTTGTTGCTGAGACTGTTGTTGTTGTTGCTGAGACTGTTGTTGCTGAGACTGTTGTTGTTGTTGGGACTGCTGTTGTTGTTGCTGAGACTGTTGTTGTAGCTGAGACTGTTGTTTTTGTAGCTGGGACTGTTGTTGGCTGGGACTGTTGTTGCTGTTGCTGAGACTGTTGTTGTTGTTGCTGAGACTGTTGTTGTTGCTGAGACTGTAGTTGTTGTAGCTGAGACTGTTGTTGCTGGGACTGTTGTTGTTGTTGCTGAGATTGTTGTTGTTGTTGCTGAGACTGTTTGTTGTTGCTGAGACTGTTGTAGCTGAGACTGTTGTTGTTGTAGCTGAGACTGTTGTTGTTGTTGCTGAGACTGTTGTTGTAGCTGAGACTGTTGTTGTTGCTGAGACTGTTGTTGTTGTTGCTGAGACTGTTGTTGCTGTTACTGAGACTGTTGTTGTTGGGACTGCTGTTGTTGTTGCTGAGACTGTTGTTGTAGCTGAGACTGTTGTTGTTGGGACTGCTGTTGTTGTTGCTAAGACTGTTGTTGTTGCTGAGACTGCTGTTGTTGTTGCTGAGACTGTTGTTGTTGTTGCTGAGACTGTTGTTGTTGCTGAGAGCTGTTGTTTTTGTAGCTGGGACTGTTGTTGCTGTTGCTGAGACTGTTGTTGTTGTTGCTGAGACTGTTGTTGTTGCTGAGACTGTTGTTGTTGTAGCTGAGACTGTTGTTGCTGAGATTGTTGTTGTTGTTGCTGAGACTGTTGTTGTTGCTGAGTCTGTTGTTGTTGTAGCTGAGACTGCTGTTGTTGTAGCTGAGACTGTTGTTGTTGCTGAGACTGTTGTTGCTGTTACTGAGACTGTTGTTGTTGTAGCTGAGACTGTCGTTGTTGGGACTGCTGTTGTTGTTTGCTGAGACTGTTGTTGCTGAGACTGTTGTTGTTGCTGCTAAAACTGCTGTTGTTGTTGCTGCTGAGACTGCTGTTGTTGCTGCTGAAACTGCTGTTGTTGTTGCTGCTGAGACTGCTGTTGTTGTTGCTGCTAAGGCTGTTGTTGTTGTAGCTGAGACTGTTGTTGTTGTTGCTGAGACTGTTGTTGTTGCTGAGACTGTTGTTGTTGCTGAGAGCTGTTGTTGTTGCTAAGACTGTTGTTGTTGTTGCTGAGACTGTTGTTGCTGAGACTGTTGTTGTTGTTGGACTGGGACTGCTGTTGTTGTTGCTGAGACTGTTGTTGTAGCTGAGACTGTTGTTTTTGTAGCTGGGACTGTTGTTGGCTGGGACTGTTGTTGCTGTTGCTGAGACTGTTGTTGTTGTTGCTGAGACTGTTGTTGTTGCTGAGACTGTAGTTGTTGTAGCTGAGACTGTTGTTGCTGGGACTGTTGTTGTTGTTGCTGAGATTGTTGTTGTTGTTGCTGAGACTGTTGTTGTTGCTGAGACTGTTGTAGCTGAGACTGTTGTTGTTGTAGCTGAGACTGTTGTTGTTGTTGCTGAGACTGTTGTTGTAGCTGAGACTGTTGTTGTTGCTGAGACTGTTGTTGTTGTTGCTGAGACTGTTGTTGCTGTTACTGAGACTGTTGTTGTTGGGACTGCTGTTGTTGTAGCTGAGACTGTTGTTGTTGGGACTGCTGTTGTTGTTGCTAAGACTGTTGTTGTTGCTGAGACTGCTGTTGTTGTTGCTGAGACTGTTGTTGTTGTTGTTGTTGCTGAGACTGTTGTTGTTGCTGAGAGCTGTTGTTTTTGTAGCTGGGACTGTTGTTGCTGTTGCTGAGACTGTTGTTGTTGTTGCTGAGACTGTTGTTGTTGCTGAGACTGTTGTTGTTGTAGCTGAGACTGTTGTTGCTGAGATTGTTGTTGTTGTTGCTGAGACTGTTGTTGTTGCTGAGTCTGTTGTTGTTGTTGCTGAGACTGTTGTTGCTGTTACTGAGACTGTTGTTGTTGTAGCTGAGACTGATGTTGTTGGGACTGCTGTTGTTGTTGCTGAGACTGTTGTTGTTGTTGCTAAGACTGTTGTTGTTGCTGAGACTGCTGTTGTTGTTGCTAAGACTGTTGTTGTTGTTGCTGAGGCTGTTGTTGTTGCTGAGAGCTGTTGTTGTTGCTGAGACTGTTGTTGTTGTTGCTGAGACTGTTGTTGCTGTTGTTGCTGAGACTGTTGTTGTTGTTGCTGAGACTGTTGTTGTTGTTGCTGAGACTGCTGTTGTTCTTGCTGAGACTGCTGTTGTTGTTGCTGAGAATGCTGTTGTTGTTGCTGAGACTGTTGTTGTTGTTGTTGCTGAGACTGTTGTTGTTGTTGTTGCTGAGACTGCTGTCGTCATTGTTGTGGCTGAGGCTGTTGTTGTAGCTGAGGCTTCTGCCCCAAAAAACCCAGAGAGAATTAGAAGTGAAAAGGAAATACACAACGATAGAGAGTCCATATATGTGTGTAGGACATATAGAGAGTCCATATACATGTGTGGAGGACATATAGAGTCCATGTACATGTGTAGAGGACATACAGAGAGTCCATATATGTGTGGAGGACCTGAGCTGCACAGTATTACTAAGGTTAGGAGGACCTGATATAAGTTAGCTGAAGGCCTATGCTCCATCAGGGAATGAAAGGCAGAAGAAGAAAACACCACAACCTCATTGGGGCTGATGCTCTTTTACCATTCTACCGGAGGGGAACAACTGGGAGTTCATAGGTCACACATACTAAGCTGCAGGTGAGCCAATAGTCGGCTATAACTGCTTCATTATGTATACACTTTTGTTTGATTTATTTATTAAACTTTTCCTTCAGAGAAAGAAGCCTCGACTAGTGCCTGCAGACCCCAATCTCAAACCAGTGACTCAGTTGGATGAGAAGATGAAGCCACCAGAATGGATCACCACAGTGATTCCCCGAAAGGCACCGTTTGTACCGCAGATGGGGGATGAAGTGGTCTACTTCCGACAGGGGCACGAGCAGTACCTGCTGGCAGTTCTCAGGAAGCAAGTCTACAAGGTTCACCTGGATAAGAACCAGCCTTGGCACAAGATTCCCAACCTCCGGGTAATGTGCCTGTCACTGTTTTTGTCATAACTGTCATGGTTTTTGTCACAACTGTCACGGTTTTTGTCATAACTGTCATGGTTTTTGTCACAATTGTCACAGTTTTTGTCACAACTGTCACGGTTTTTGTCACAACTGTCACGGTTTTTGTCACAACTGTCATGGTTTTTGCAATATCTGTCACCGTTTGTGTCATATGTGTCACAGGTTGAGACAGATCTGTCAGGTTTTTTAATTCAAATATATCACAGTTTTTTCATTATCTGTCACAATTTTTGTCATATCTGTTACTTTTCTTAGATCTGCCACTGTTCTGCCATACCTATGTCAAATCTGTGACTTCTTCTCTTCCACCTTGTACGTCACCTTGTAAGTGTCGGGGACTGCTTTGTCATATCTCTGAATATTCTGTTACATCTGCCACTGTTTTGTGAAATCTGACAGTTTTGTCATATCCATAATTGTTGTCATCTTTTCACTGTTTTGTCAAAACTGTGACTTCATTTACCAAATCTGTTGCTGTTGTGTCAAATATGTTGCTGTTTACTAAATATAAGCTTGATGGAACTGATGGAAAGCTACTTGCAGCATCCGTTTGCAGGTAGAAAACTAAACAAGACTGCAAGTTAATTTTTACACGCTGCCAGTCAGAGAAGGAAAGACTAAATGAGACAGCAAGTGACCTCAGCACTCTATGATAAAAGATGAAGTACTCAGTGAGACAGCAAGTGACCTCAGCACTCTATGATAAAAGATGAAGTACTCAGTGAAACAGCAAGTGACATCTGCACCCCTGCTATAGAAAAGGATGACCAAAAAAGACTAAAGTACCACTGCCTGCCAGGAAAGACTAAATTGTTATCGCTACTTATACCTCTACATCCCAGTGTAGAAACAGACAACTAAACAAGACTGTTGGTACCTCTACATCCCAGAGTAAAGGAAATTAAAACTAAACAAAATGATGGGTACCTGTCTACATCCCAGGGTAGAAGAAGGAAAGCAAAACAAAACTGTTAGGTACCTTAACATCCCAGGATAGAACAGGAGAGATATGAATTGTATTAGGGAGGCTAGAATGATGATGTAAAGTTCGTGCTGCTGTCTGACTTGTTGCTTGTGACTGGCAGGCCCAGGAGCTGGTGAAGATAGTGGGCATCAAGTGGCTGATCACACCCACCAGGCTGTGTTGTCTCAAACTGGCCTTCATGGACTCCAGCAGTGGCCGGCTGACTGGCAGGAGCTTCACCATCAAGTGAGTCACCTCCTGCTTGTATGTTCTCTGGGTGTGTGTACAAGTGAGTCACCTCCTGCTTGTATGTTCTCTGGGTGTGTGTACAAGTGAGTCACCTCCTGATTGTATGTTCTCTGGGTGTGTGCACAAGTGAGTCACCTCCTGCTTGTATGTTTTCTGGGTGTGTGTACAAGTGAGTCACCTCCTGCTTGTATGTTCTCAGGGTGTGTGCACAAGTGAGTCACCTCCTGCTTGTATGTTCTCTGGGTGTGTGTACAAGTGAGTCACCTCCTGCTTGTATGTTCTCTGGGTGTGTGTACAAGTGAGTCACCTCCTGCTTGTATGTTTTCTGGGTGTGTGTACAAGTGAGTCACCTCCTGCTTGAATGTTTTCTGGGTGTGTGTACAAGTGAGTCACCTCCTGCTTGTATGTTTTCTGGGTGTGTGTATAAGTGAGTCACCTCCTGCTTGTATGTTCTCTGGGTGTGTGCACGAGTGAGTCACCTCCTGCTTGTATGTTCTCTGTGTGTGTGTACAAGTGAGTAACCTCCTGCTTGTATGTTCTCTGAGTGTGCACAAGTGAGTCACCTCCTGCTTGTATGTTCTCTGGGTGTGTGCACAAGTGAGTCACCTCCTGCTTGTATGTTCTCTGGGTGTGTGTACAAGTGAGTCACCTGCTTGAATGTTCTCTGAGTGTGCACAAGTGAGTCACCTCCTGCTTGTATGTTTTCTGGGTGTGTGTACAAATGAGTCACCTCCTGCTTGTATGTTTTCTGGGTGTGTGTACAAGTGAGTCACCTCCTGCTTGTATGTTTTCTGGGTGTGTGTACAAGTGAGTCACCTCCTGCTTGTATGTTCTCTGGGTGTGTGCACAAGTGAGTCACCTCCTGCTTGTATGTTTTCTGGGTGTGTGCACAAGTGAGTCACCTCCTGCTTGTATGTTTTCTGGGTGTGTGCACAAGTGAGTCACCTCCTGCTTGTATGTTCTCTGGGTGTGTGTACAAGTGAGTCACCTCCTGCTTGTATGTTTTCTGGGTGTGTGCACAAGTGAGTCACCTCCTGCTTGTATGTTCTCTGGGTGTGTGCACAAGTGAGTCACCTCCTGCTTGTATGTTCTCTGGGTGTGTGCACAAGTGAGTCACCTCCTGCTTGTATGTTTTCTGTGTGTGTGTACAAGTGAGTCACCTCCTGCTTGTATGTTCTCAGGGTGTGTGCACAAGTGAGTCACCTCCTGCTTGTATGTTTTCTGTGTGTGTGCACAAGTGAGTCACCTCCTGCTTGTATGTTCTCTGTGTGTGTGTACAAGTGAGTAACCTCATGCTTGTATGTTTTCTGTGTGTGTGTGTACAAGTGAGTAACCTCATGCTTGTATGTTCTCTGTGTGTGTGTACAAGTGAGTCACCTCCTGCTTGTATGTTTTCTGTGTGTGTGCACAAGTGAGTCACCTCCTGCTTGTATGTTTTCTGTGTGTGTGCACAAGTGAGTCACCTCCTGCTTGTATGTTCTCTGTGTGTGTGCACAAGTGAGTCACCTCCTGCTTGTATGTTTTCTGTGTGTGTGCACAAGTGAGTCACCTCCTGCTTGTATGTTTTCTGTGTGTGTGCACAAGTGTGTCACCTCCTGCTTGTATGTTCTCTGTGTGTGTGTACAAGTGAGTAACCTCATGCTTGTATGTTCTCTGTGTGTGTGTACAAGTGAGTCACCTCCTGCTTGTATGTTTTCTGTGTGTGTGCACAAGTGAGTCACCTCCTGCTTGTATGTTTTCTGTGTGTGTGCACAAGTGAGTCACCTCCTGCTTGTATGTTTTCTGTGTGTGTGTGTATAAGTGAGTCACCTCCTGCTTGTATGTTCTCTGGGTGTGTGTACAAGTGAGTCACCTCCTGCTTGTATGTTCTCAGGGTGTGTGCACAAGTGAGTCACCTCCTGCTTGTATGTTTTCTGTGTGTGTGCACAAGTGAGTCACCTCCTGCTTGTATGTTTTCTGTGTGTGTGTGTATAAGTGAGTCACCTCCTGCTTGTATGTTCTCTGGGTGTGTGTACAAGTGAGTCACCTCCTGCTTGTATGTTCTCAGGGTGTGTGCACAAGTGAGTCACCTCCTGCTTGTATGTTTTCTGTGTGTGTGCACAAGTGAGTCACCTCCTGCTTGTATGTTTTCTGTGTGTGTGTGTATAAGTGAGTCACCTCCTGCTTGTATGTTCTCTGGGTGTGTGTACATGATGGAGAGAAAGGTTTTTTCAGAGGTGTCTGCCTGTGTGAATATGATGATGGTTTTGGGTGTGTGATATGCCTGTGTATATATGATGATGGTTTTGGGTGTGTGATATGCCTGTGTATGCATGATGATGGTTTTAAAGTCTTTGAACCTAAGACAGACACTATCTCTAAAATCACCCTAGCCCTGCTAAAGGTGAAAGATTACATTTGTCCTAATATTGAAATTATCAGCAAAATGTTAAATATCTGGCATTGTGTTTCTCTGCTGTCAGATTGCTTCATTTACTGTGGGTTGCTATGTTTGTAGCACACTTGGTAAACTAGCTTCATTTACTGTGGGTTGCTATCTTTGTAGCACACTTGGTGAACTAGCTTCATTTACTGTGGGTTGCTATCTTTGTAGCACACTTAGTGAACTAGCTTCATTTACTGTGGGTTGCTATGTTTGTAGCACACTTGGTAAACTAGCTTCATTTACTGTGGGTTGCTATGTTTGTAGCACACTTGGTGAACTAGCTTCATTTACTGTGGGTTGCTATGTTTGTAGCACACTTGGTGAACTAGCTTCATTTACTGTGGGTTGCTATGTTTGTAGCACACTTGGTGAACTAGCTTCACTTGTTCTTGTTGAGAGGAAAACAGGAACACAGCATATGAACATTGTTACTTTAGTCTGTGGCAAAATAAAAAAAAAATTATTTTGTTTTGTAGAAAGAAGAAAACTGAGCAATAATCAGATAAAATCTGTCACTGGCTGTAGCCAAATTAACGAAACAAATACTTTCATCTTTGTTGAAAAGACAGAATAATAATTGAAGCTAGCTTCTAAGGAACAAGTGAAAACTGTCAATTAATTAGAGATATTAGACTAAGACAGATATTAGACGTAGATAGTCTATATGCTGTAATCATTAGGAGAAGAGAATTAAATGTTAAAACTTTAGGAAAACTGGCAGACTTGATTGGAAGATTACCTGGGCAAGATAAGAGATAAATACTTGCATGGAGTTACTGTGTGGGGTAGTTGGAACAAAAACACATGCCTTGTCTGAGACTAGTATAACATGAGATCTTAAGTCATGACCAGACACCCTTTAACCAGTTACGGCACTTTTCACCAGTTACGGCACTTCTTTTCACCAGTTACGGCACTTCTTTTCACCAGTTACGGCACTTCTTTTCACCAGTTACGGCACTTCTTTTCACCAGTTACGGCACTTCTTTTCACCAGTTACGGCACTTCTTTTCACCAGTTATGGCACTTATTTTCACCAGTTACGGCACTTCTTTTCACCAGTAATGGCACTTCTTTTCACCTGTTACGGCACTTATTTTCACCTGTTACGGCACTTATTTTCACCTGTTACGGCACTTCTTTTCACCAGTTACGGCACTTTTCACCAGTTACGGCACTTATTTTCACCAGTAACGGCACTTCTTTTCACCTGTTACGGCACATAATGATGTCCAAAGAAATTAGAACACAGTATTGAAAAATTATCTTTGGCTGTTATAACATCAACTTATAATTTTATCTTTGACTGGGGTAAGATTAATGGAAATGTTTTATCTTTATTTGAATACTGAGGACCAGTGGTGGCTTGTGGGTAGGCACTTGCAGAACTAGAACTTCTTATCTTGGACCGGTACACATGCACACAGCATGTTGAACAGGCTTGTCGGCTTTGTACACATGCACACATGTTAAACAGGCTGGTGCGGCAGTTGTACGCATGCACACATGTTAAACAGGCTGGTCAGCTGTTGTACACATGCACACAACATGTTAAACAGGCTGGTCAGCTGTTGTACACATGCACACAACATGTTAAACAGGCTGGTCAGCTGTTGTACACATGCACACTACATGAACAGGCTGGTGCGGCAGTTGTACACATGCACATAAAAAAGCTACAGTCTTGCAGTACCTACCAACGAGCTGGCTTTGTTAATGACACATGAACATATTTTGGTTTGTTTGTTATTCCTCAGATACCATGACATGCCAGATGTGATCGATTTCTTAGTGCTAAAACAACATTATGACATTTCAGTTGAAAGAGGATGGAAACCTGGTAAGTTAACTGTTTTTGAGAATTTGCTGATGCAGAAAATTGAAAGAAAAACCAGTAATTTGAAAAACATTAACTCTTTCAGGACGGCATTTGTTCTGGGGTTTGGACAGCATTAATTTTAAGCGGAATGTTTTAAGTGCAACACGACAAAGCTAAAACTTTCCTGAAGAAAAAGTATGGGCTGTATCGGGACTTATAATATATCAAATTAAAGACAAATGAGTGCAGAATAAATCTAAACGACCTAAATGTCAGTATAACATCAACATATTATTAAAATCACACAACATTCAAGGATGTTAGACACAAAGGACAATTTTAAACATAAAAAATTGTGTGCTAACCTTATTCTTTACTGGTTCAGCAACACTGCTATCCAATTCTAAGAATACACATGCCTTCTCTGTTCAATTATGTATTAGCTAGTCTTTATTTTAAACAATTGATTTAAATACTTTGGATATTGTAATCATTTTTGTATGACATGTCAATTTTCACAACAACCAAAAATCGGAAAAACAGCTGATCGAAACATTGATCTAATTGAAATATTTTGTGAAATTTTCATATCCTAAACTAAATTATCGCTAGTAGATGTGTCCCTTAGATATCAATCATAATATCAAGACTGTTGTCATCATCTGGCAGGCATTCATCAACGATAGAGCAGTATGGACAGTTCTAGACTTTTTCCCCTATCATTTAGTATAGAAAAATCACGTAAAAATTGTATCCCATCTAAATAATTTTTTTAAAATCACAAAATAATGCACCGACCACGATGAACATCGCAAATCAAAGTACATCCTGTTGTTAATCCTAATTGTTAAAAAACTTGTTCATAAAAGTTCGTTTACCCTACAAACGGAACAAAATTAGAGTGTCTCTATCATGAGCCAGTAAACTGGCTTTACGTCTTTAAGGGATAGACTTAAGCGCCAGTATACTGGCTAAACGTCCGAAAAGAGTTAATGTTATTTAACTTCAACATTTCAAATTTGAAACTACCTTCCAACATTACTTCTTTTTTTTTTAAATTTAATTTTTTCTGTATACTTTTTAAATTCCTTTCCTGTTTTGTTATTCGTTGATATAAAGGATAAATGAACATTTAATGATATGTTTATGTTTTTCAACGGATCAACTTCATGCACACACAGGTGTAACCCATAAGTGCTCCGTTCTACTTCTAACTCAAGCCTCAGCCTGAAGAATCTCAGCGCGGTGCACGAACCCCATTGCATTGGCCAGGATCCTGAAATACTTAAGGTAGATTTTTAACTCCATATTTTGCTCGGCAGCGGCGTTAGACTACTATTTTCGATTTCACCTGCCAAAGAATTTTTTTTTACCTGCCCAAGAATATACACACAGGCGTCCAATCTCATTACCCAGAGTTCCGGGAAAATTACTAGAAGTCCACGTGAAAAAATCCGAGCCTTCACCGGGGCTTGAACCCAGGACCTCCAGCACTCAAGGCAGACACCATACCTCAAGACGACTGAGCTCCCTGTAACATATAACATATAAGATGGTGATGACAAGAATATATCAAAGCTCACCTGTTTCAGGTGTGCGGTTCCGGTCGATGATTGATGACCAGTGGTGGCTGGGTGCCATCAAATCCCAGGAGCCATTGAATCCAGAGTTCCCTGACAGTTTATTTCAGTGTTTCAACGTGCAGTAAGTTTTTGGTACATTTTCTTAATCTGTTGTTGATTTGGATGGTTTGATGGCTGGTTTATTGCATGGTTTGATGGCTGGTTTATTGCATGGTTTGATGGCTGGTTTGTTGCATGGTTTGATGGCTGGTTTGTTGCATGGTTTGATGGCTGGTTTGTTGCATGGTTTGATGGCTGGTTTGTTGCATGGTTTGATGGCTGGTTTGTTGCATGGTGTGATGGCTGGTTTGTTGCATGGTTTGATGGCTGGTTTGTTGCAGGGTTGTCTGGCTGGTTTGTTGCAGGGTTGTCTGGCTGGTTTATTGCAGGGTTTGATGGCTGGTTTATTGCATGGTTTGATGGCTGGTTTATTGCATGGTTTGTTGTATAGTTCGATTCCTGGTTTGTTGCAGGGTTGTCTGGCTGGTTTGTTGCATTGTGTTATGGCTGGTTTGTTGCAGGGTTGTCTGGCTGGTTTGTTGCATGGTGTGATGGCTGGTTTGTTGCAGGGTTGTCTGGCTGGTTTGTTGCATGGTGTGATGGCTGGTTTGTTGCAGGGTTGTCTGGCTGGTTTGTTGCAGGGTTGTCTGGCTGGTTTGTTGCAGGGTTGTCTGGCTGGTTTGTTGCAGGGTTGTCTGGCTGGTTTGTTGCAGGGTTGTCTGGCTGGTTTGTTGCAGGGTTGTCTGGCTGGTTTGTTGCAGGGTTGTCTGGCTGGTTTGTTGCAGGGTTGTCTGGCTGGTTTGTTGCATGGTGTGATGGCTGGTTTGTTGCAGGGTTGTCTAGCTGGTTTGTTGCATGGTTGTCTGGCTGGTTTGTTGCATGGTTGTCTGGCTGGTTTGTTGCAGGGTTGTCTGGCTGGTTTGTTGCAGGGTTGTTTAGCTGGTTTGTTGCATGGTTGTCTGGCTGGTTTGTTGCATGGTGTGATGGCTGGTTTGTTGCAGGGTTGTCTGGCTGGTTTGTTGCATGGTGTGATGGCTGGTTTGTTGCATGGTTGTCTGGCTGGTTTGTTGCATGGTTCTCCTTACCCCTTTAAGCTCATAACACAATCAGGATGTGTAAGACCAGTAATTGTGAAACAGGTCTAAACTGAGCAGTCCGTCTGGAATGGCTGGAAGTCAGTCATGTAATGTTTGCTAGTTTTTTGTTGTTGACATTGTTAACAGACTTGATTGTGAAGTGTACATTAAATGCATAATCTAGGAATACCTTATTATCTGTGTATAACTGACTCAAGTGACTGGTCTGTTTAACAAAATGAGTTAGTTTCATTTGTCTGAAGCACCACTAGGTAGGAGAAGGGTTCTGCGTTACCTGACCTTGGCGATAATGGGATAACAAACAATAATCCTGCCTGAAACTGCAGTGTAACTTTAGAATGTATGGTTTCTGCGACCCAGCTGGGTTGCCTTTTACACCATGCTTGTAACAAAAAAGTGGGGGGTGGGGGGGGGGAAGAACAGAGGCAATGGAACACAGACATATAATTATCTGACTGACTGTCATCAACCCCCACCAGGACCACTCAACAAGTGATAAACACCTGGTGACACAAAGTGCCAACATTAGGATGAGAATCACCCAGGTACGAGTTCCAGAAACCCATTCAACCATTAAGTTATATTTAGGACCTCCAACGACAGACGAAGTGGGGCTTTAAGAGAACAGACACAAAAAAATTGCATCCCACATTAGGTTGGGGATCAGAGTTTTCTTGGACGGTTGCCTTGCTTATTTCTATATTGTTGACACTTTTGTGATAATACATACATTAAATTGCTTTTGAGTGAATGTTTCAATGTTTTTCTGCCTATTGCAGGTGGGACAATGGAGAATATGAGAAAATAAGTCCTTGGGACATGGAACCCATAGACCCAAAACGTAAGTGCAATGAGATTAAAGGTTAATATGTTCTCTTTCTTCTGTGAAGTTGTCTGTCTTGTTATCTCCCTTGCTGGATAGGACGTATCCGGACTGCATGTCTCAGGAACAAAAATATGGACTTCAACAGTTACTTGTATCAGCATAAGCCATCAGAAACCAAAGAACATAGAATCACTCAACTGGAGCCTCTCCATGAAGAATCCACTGTTCTGTCTGATCAGTTAAAGCTCTGAGGCACTGGTTGGAGGTCATTGTTCTGTCTGGTCAGATAAATCTCTGTTTGGGGGTCCCTGTTCTGTCTAGTCAAGGCACTGGTTTGAGACCACTGTTCTGCCTTGTCAAGGCACTGGTTTGAGGCCACTGTTCTGCACATCAATGTCATCATGAAGATGTTACTTAAACCTGTCAGCCATCATTGCTTCATGTCACTGGTGTATTTCCTACCAAAATCGTGTGCAGATAATGGTGGACCACATACAAATCTTGTTTATCGGTAAATGACAAGAGATTGTGTCTAAGTCGGACGTAACTGACTGTTGGTTAGAACATTCATGATCATATTTGAAGACCACTAGAGGATTTTCTGAGTGTGCTTGTGGGGTTGTGAAAGGGTAAGTCTGTTGAAGTGAGGGCCTCAGCAGGACTGATAGACAGTGAGTATGAGGCACCAGATGCGTTCAGGGTAGCTTTGAAGCCAGGTCCAGAATTTTTAGGGGCTTTTGGTCTAAGTCGTTGTTTTCCTGACATAATCTTTGGAGGTGCAGAAGTTGGGAGAAAGGAATGGAGTGCTTGCAGGAAGAAGGATGAAAGGATGTATAAAGAAGAAAAGCATGAGGATTGGTAGGTGTTTCGTATATTGAGGAACTGAGTGAAACATGCGTAAACATCCTTTTATACCTCAAGTTCTGAATGTGTTGTTTGTTTACTGTTGCTAGGGAAACCAGCCACGGTTGGTGGAGGAGTCAGTGTTACCCAGGATGAGTATAAAGCCCTGCTGTATGTTCCCAAGAGAACAGAGTGGCCCTCGTGTGGCAGGGAGGCAGAGTCCCAGCGGCTGACGCAGGGCCTGGGGATCCTGATGCAACATTCCATCGCTGAATCCTTCAATGCTCCGGTGGACCTGCAGAAGTTCCCCACCTATGCTTGTTTTGTCTCCTATCCTATTGACCTCAGCACCATCAAAACCAGACTGGAAAATGGCTTCTACAGGTGAGTGCTTCTCTTGTTTCATTTGGTCTTTTGTGTTCATATTCAGGAACTCGGGGCAATTCATTCATTGACAGGCAGCGACTCCTCACCCATGCACTGGTTTTCCACTGTCTTCAAGACAATGAAAACAGTCATGGTTTCGGGCGAATTGGTCAGGCCAATTGCTGTAAGCTCTGAAAGTCATCGGTTCATTTCACAGCTGCATCTTTCGGTTACTGAATGCCATATTAACGGAGACCCCTTGGGGTTGTCCCTGGGGCTACAGTGTTCCTGCTCTGTGTGACACTCAGCAAGTGGCTAGCCATTCTGAAGAGAGAGCGACAGCTATATGGCATCAAACCCGGTGAGATGAAGTCGATCCTCTTGACTTTAACTCTCACTCTCGTCTCACACACACAAATGCATGCACACACGCACATAGAGAGAGAGAGAGGGGGGGGGGGGGGGGGGGGCACTGACCTGATCATCTGAATGAACAGATCAGACCAGAAGTAGAACCACATCACTAACACAACAGATGAACGCTGCAGCTAGCGAACCTTCATCAGCTCGTTAAATCTAAAATACCACAAATACAAATGAGAATACTGGAGTGAAACAGCAATATGAAAATCTACAGTACAAACGAGTTAGATGGCCACAAACAGAGAGTAGAAGCATTTGTTCTGTTATTATTCTGTTATATTTGTTTTACACATTTGAATATTAAAATGGAATATTTTAGTCTGTTCATTTTTGTGTTACCTTTTGTTCTCGTCTTTGTTTTGCTGATGAAGGCTAGTCACCACACAACATTCCTTTGTTAATTGTAATTTATTCTGTAAAACTCAGTATACTTCTCCTATCCTTTTTGTTTTTTAAATACTTCCAATATTGATTTGTGATTTGAGCTGTGTCCCTGTGTTGTGTCCACCATTTTTGTGAAGTTTTGGTACACCAGAACTAAATCTGATTGCTGGCAAGTGCTGATCTACATCATGTGACTTGTGGTCTGTCGTAGGAGAATCACAGCCCTCCAGTGGGACGTCAGGCTGATTGCTGCCAATGCAAGCATCTTCAACAAGTCAGGCTCTGTGATTGTCAAGAATGCCAACGCAATTTCAGAAACTTTGCTTCGGTTCATCAAGTAAGTCTTTTTTTCATCATTATGTTATTCTGTGTTATTACTACTGACTCCATTGCATGGTGGGAATTTCCATCCCTGCTCAATCTTCTAATGCAGCAGCCACTCCAAGGTACTGTTACTGGTTATAATGTCTCCTGTCTTGAAGACAGCATAGACGGGCTTCACCAGGCTTTACTCCCAGGCCATGTAATCGGGCTAGCATCTGAGACTCATGATTGTCCACCACCTGTCTGGTCCACGCAGTGTTGATGATATCAGCTGTATCCATGCTTCTGCCTTATGCAGTTGTGCATTACTTGGCAGTTGGTTCGCTCGTTCATTAAGGTTTACTCCGGCTAGCTCAGGTGGGTAGATCTAGATGGGAGAGTTTAAGTTCCTGATGCTGTCTACACATGCAGAAGTGGAGGCTGCTGATTCTCTGAAGCATATTCATGAAGTCTGATATGATCACAGTGTGAGGCTGATTGCTCCGCTGATATGATCACATTGTGAGGCTACTTGCTCCGCTGATATGATGAAAGTGTGAGGCTGATTGCTCCGCTGATATGATCACAGTGTGAGGCTGCTTGCTCCGCTGATATGATCAAAGTGTGAGGCTGCTTGCTCCGCTGATACGATCAAAGTGTGAGGCTGCTTGTTCCGCTGATATGATAACATTGTGAGGCTACTTGCTTCGCTGATATGATCAAAGTGTGAGGCTGCTTGTTCCGCTGATATGATCAAAGTGTGAGGCTGCTTGCTTCGCTGATATGATCACATTGTGAGGCTACTTGCTCCGCTGATATGATCAAAGTGTGAGGCTGCTTGCTCCGCTGATATGATCACAGTGTGAGGCTGCTTGCTCCGCTGATATGATCAAAGTGTGAGGCTGCTTGCTCCGCTGATACGATCAAAGTGTGAGGCTGCTTGTTCCGCTGCCCTTCTAATATGCTGGAGGTAAAGGTAATTTTCAAGCTTGTGCTTGACATAGCTGCCTGGTAAGCACCTCTATCCTTTGTGTTGTGTATGCCCATGCTAACCCTGAACACCCCCCCCCCCCCCCTGCCACATCATCACCGTCATCATCATCATCACTGTAATGATGTTATAAATAGGAATAATGTCAGGGGATGATTGGCATAACTGGGGAAGTCCCTGAGAGCATGGGTTTCACGGAGATATGGTGAAACGACAGGAAAGAGTGTGTCACGTGTGAATGAGGAGATCTGGGGGATTGAGAATCAGGCGGGCATTCGGTGACTGGGCCCCAGAGAGAAAGGATGGAAAATGAAGCTGTGAAGATGAATGGAGAATGACTAGAGCATGTGGATCTGAATCGGCAAGGAATGAATGATCGAGAAGGCCAGCTGTGATGGTACCCTGTTTGATTGTCAAAGCCAGCTGTGAATATGTCAACGTCTATTGTCCGAATGCTGTAAGTGGATTCACCTGTGATTTGTGTATTGAGCTAACGTGTAAATAAACTCGTGAAATGTGCCGCTGGTGTTAACCGTTGTTAGACGTTGTGTGACCATGAAGAGGATCATGTCTGCTTTGATTGAGTTGTGAACCTCTAGACCTCAGTGCCAGTGTTAACTCTGCACCACAGATAGCCAGTGTGGAGGAGACACAAAAGGGCAGTCATTACAATCACCATTGTCATCACCATTGTCATCATCATCACCACTATTGTCATCATCACCATCGTCATCATCATCATCATCCATTATCATCACCACTATTGTCATCATCACCATCATCACTACTATTATCGTCATCACCATTACCATCATCATCATCATCACCGTCATCAGCATGATGCCATCATCGCCATTATCATCACGGTCGTCATCATCACTATCACCATCATCATGCCATCCTCATGCCATTACCATCACTGCCAACACTTGATTGTCTCCCCAGGGACCACACCTGCCAGGACCCCCTCCCAATGTTGACAGAACTGGCCCACAGCGACATGAAAATGGGCTCCAGTGACGAGGACAGTCATCCCGGCTCTTCTGGGAAAACATCAAAAGTAAGCTACATCAGCTACTTTGTTGTGCGTTTGCTGAGTTGTTCAATATCTAATAGTAATCTAGTAGTCAGAATATTGTCAAGCAGACCGTTGTTAAAGTTAATAACAAAATAGATGAAGATTAATTATGACTGGGAAACTCGGCAGAATGAAAGACACACTTGGCCCATAATTTTGATGAGGGGCTCTGGCTCTGGCCTTGTCAAGAGAGGAGAAATAACAGACACCTCATGGGAACAGTCGATAATACACCAGGGATGACTGATCAAAAGCATCGCTTCAGAGATCCCCAGTGGTTAGTGTCGTTTGGATATTTATTCTAGGTGGTGCAGGTATATTGGAAATTAACCAGGCAGACAGATTGGCTGGTTGTACTTCTGCACTGCTTGGTAGTAAATTCATGAATGACAAACTAGAGGTTAACAAGATGTTATCTTTGAGAGTCAGTGATCCGTGTAGATGCACAACTAGATCATTGTGGTCTGGAGGAGAATAGTGTAGCCAGGAGATCTGACTAGCGCATGGCACTTAGACAGGCAAGATAGACATATGCTCAGGCTGTCACTGGTACAGGCAAGATAGACATATGCCCAGGCTGTTACTGGTGCAGGCAAGATAGACATATGCTCAGGCTGTCACTGGTACAGGTAAGATAGACATATGCTCAGGCTGTTACTGGTGCAGGCAAGATAGACATATGCTCAGGCTGTTACTGGTGCAGGCAAGATAGACATATGCTCAGGCTGTCACTGGTACAGGCAAGATAGACATATGCTCAGGCTGTTACTGGTACAGGTAAGATAGACATATGCTCAGGCTGTTACTGGTACAGGTAAGATAGACATATGCTCAGGCTGTTACTGGTACAGGTAAGATAGACATATGCTCAGGCTGTTACTGGTACAGGCAAGATAGACATATGCTCAGGCTGTTACTGGTGCAGGCAAGATAGACATATGCTCAGGCTGTTACTGGTGCAGGCAAGATAGACATATGCTCAGGCTGTTACTGGTACCATTGGAATTGGAACTCTGTGCTGGCTTCTGAAGATAAGACAGAACACTTATGGTAATGTCCTTAGTGCTCTGATGTCAGTGTTGAACTCATCTTAACTAGGACAACGGATGTTTTGGAGAACTGAACATGTATGAAGTTGTTCCATATGCATTAATCTCAGTTATTTTGGCCTGTCTTTAATTTATAACATTCACTTGCATCCCTGCATGTTTCTTTGTCTAAAGTTGCCTGCCATTCCTTGTTTTTCTGTGTTGAAGTATGTCATTTTTATCAGTTGATAGTTGATACATGATACATTGTCAGACCGTGTTACTTACCAATTGTAAAAGGCTGGCACTGGTATTATGCCAGTTTGTTGACTTTATACATGTATGTTTAGAATCACTTGATATCTTTGCAGTCTTTCTTTATCAGTTGAGGCGAGAAAGAGAATTCTCTAGAGCTATATTAGTCTACAATCTTTGGTTATGTCATGATAAGGATATAACTGGAGCGCATTGCCACTTTGGGAAAGTTTGAGGGGAAAAGAGGCAAAGGGAGACCAACAGAGAAGTTGCTACACAGTTGACAACATGAAATGGAAGATCGTCTGTGTCAGAATTGATTGAAAGTACATGAGACCGAAGGTTTTAGACAGATTTAACAACGCCACACAGCATAGGCCATAAGAAGAGGAAGAATCTTTTGAATTGATAGTCAGATGAAAGGAGATAAATATTTAAGTATACTGTCATAGAGCCTATTAATTTCCATTTTAGAGCAGGAAAAGTCCAAACAGAAAGAAACACAAGCATGGCCCCAAGGCTGACCCTGATGTGTGGGTGGAACAGTGTGAGTCCCTCCTGGCAACTCTGTTTGAGTGTGAAGATTCAGAACCTTTCCGTGTGCCAGTTGACCCTGCACTTTACCCTGTAAGTCCATAATTCATGATCATCATGTTGTGTCATTGAATGTCGCCTCAGGCTCACAATCTATTGTGTCATTCCTTTCTGTCTGCCTATGTCTGTATAATTAACATTAAATTTATTCTAAAATATCTTTTTACAACAGTTAAGGCTAATGTCATCTTTAGTTTTGTTTTGGAGATTAATGTTAGCATAATCCACGCTTTTGTTGCAGAGATTAATGTTAGCATAATCCACGCTTTTGTTTCAAAGAAAAAATTAAACTTTGTGCACACTTTTGTTGCAGAGATTCAGGTTAGCCTAATCCTCACATTTTTTTCAAAGATTAACTTTGTAGATGATATAATATTAAAAGGTAAGATTACTGATGCAGGCCATCGCTGACTTAACAGACAACACCTAGTGTTTCCCAGATGTTGCCCCATCCAGTCAACACAAGGTGGCAGGTCAACACAAGGTGGCAGGTTAACACAAGGTGGCAGGTTAACACAAGGTAGCAGGTTAACACAAGGTGGCAGGTCAACACAAGGTGGCAGGTCAACACAAGGTGGCAGGTTAACACAAGGTGGCAGGTCAACACAAGGTGGCAGGTCAACACAAGGTGGCAGGTTAACACAAGGTGGCAGGTTAACACAAGGTGGCAGGTCAACACAAGGTGGCAGGTTAACACAAGGTGGCAGGCAATGTCAGCATTGGTAGAATGTCCTACCATTGGCAGAAGTGTTAAGATGAAACCTGTTGTTCTTATCTCTGTGCGGGTCATAGCTTGGCTGCGATAAAGCCTGCTGAGGACTGCACTTCAAGATTGAAAGTGTCACAGATCTCCTGCTGATGGAGACTGTCAGCACGTGGAAATTGCACTCAGACTTGGTGAGCTAGCAGACGTGGATCAGAATGAAATGTTACTGGCCTGCGATGGAAGAAAATGATCACCACTGCCCAAATTCTGTGTGTTTAACTGAATTAATTCATATTTGTGATTTGTTTTCAGGACTACGAAGACATCGTAAAAAATCCCATGGATTTAACGACAGTACACACCAAACTGGCAACAGGCCACTATGGCAACCCGGTGGATCTGTGCCGGGACATCAGACTCATGTTTCAGAATTCCAAGATCTTCAACACAAACAAGCGTTCTCGGGTTAGTGCATTTTTACACAGACATACATACGTACATACGTACGATACAGACAGACAGACTGACACTGACACACGTACACAGACACACATAAAGACATTACACAGACACACATAAAGAGATTACACAGACACATAAAGAGATTACACAGACACACATAAAGAGATTACACAGACACATAAAGAGATTACACAGACACACATAAAGAGATTACACAGACACATAAAGAGATTACACAGACACATAAAGAGATTACACAGACACACATAAAGAGATTACACAGACACACATACAGAGATTACACAGACACACATGAACAAATTACACACACACACATAAAGAGATTACACAGACACACATGAACAAATTACACACACACACATAAAGAGATTACACAGACACACATGAACAAATTACACACACACACACATAAAGAGATTACACAGACACATAAAGAGATTACACAGACACACATAAAGAGATTACACAGACACATAAAGAGATTACACAGACACATAAAGAGATTACACAGACACACATACAGAGATTACACACACACACACATAAAGAGATTACACAGACACATACAGAGATTACACAGACACATAAAGAGATTACACAGACACACATAAAGAGATTACACAGACACATACAGAGATTACACAGACACATAAAGAGATTACACAGACACATAAAGAGATTACACAGACACACATACAGAGATTACACACACACACATACAGAGATTACACAGACACATAAAGAGATTACACAGACACACATACAGAGATTACACACACACACATAAAGAGATTACACAGACACACAGAAATACAGACAGACTGACACCATCGTGAGCCATCCGTACATTTTGTGAGCAATGTTCCAAAAAAGTTTCTGTTTCCTGACAAAAATCAGTTTGACAAACATGGAGGTGTTACCCCATGCTTCATCCCCAGCCTAGAGGACCAGGGTGACAAATCATTGTGTCCTCTGCCCTTTGACCTGTGCGGCCTAGGAAGCCCTGCCGGTATCTGTGCTACTGCCAGGATGGCTCTCAAAATCACTTTGGTGAGAAGAGCAAGCTCCCCTACCAGTTCAAGCTGGAGACATCTTTGGGGAAGATTCCCTTTAGTAGCAGTAGTTTTCTTCTCATAAGTGTCAGAGTGGCAGGCTGGTGGGACAGTGGCAGGCTGGTGGGACAGTGGCAGGCTGGTGGGACAGTGGCAGGCTGGTGGGACAGTGGCAGGCTGGTGGGACAGTGGCAGGCTGGTGGGACAGTGGCAGGCTGGTGGGACAGTGGCAGGCTGGTGGGACAGTGGCAGGCTGGTGGGACAGTGGCAGGCTGGTGGGACAGTGGCAGGCTGGTGGGACAGTGGCAGGCCGGTGGGACAGTGGCAGGCTGGTGGGACAGTGGCAGGCCGGTGGGACAGTGGCAGGCTGGTGGGACAGTGGCAGGCTGGTGGGACAGTGGCAGGCTGGTGGGACAGTGGCAGGCTGGTGGGACAGTGGCAGGCTGGTGGGACAGTGGCAGGCCGGTGGGACAGTGGCAGGCTGGTGGGACAGTGGCAGGCTGGTGGGACAGTGGCAGGCCGGTGGGACAGTGGCAGGCTGGTGGGACAGTGGCAGGCCGGTGGGACAGTGGCAGGCCGGTGGGACAGTGGCAGGCTGGTGGGACAGTGGCAGGCTGGTGGGACAGTGGCAGGCTGGTGGGACAGTGGCAGGCTGGTGGGACAGTGGCAGGCTGGTGGGACAGTGGCAGGCTGGTGGGACAGTGGCAGGCCGGTGGGACAGTGGCAGGCTGGTGGGACAGTGGCAGGCCGGTGGGACAGTGGCAGGCCGGTGGGACAGTGGCAGGCTGGTGGGACAGTGGCAGGCTGGTGGGACAGTGGCAGGCTGGTGGGACAGTGGCAGGCTGGTGGGACAGTGGCAGGCTGGTGGGACAGTGGCAGGCTGGTGGGACAGTGGCAGGCTGGTGGGACAGTGGCAGGCTGGTGGGACAGTGGCAGGACAGTGGCAGGCTGGTGGGACAGTGGCAGGCTGGTGGGACAGTGGCAGGCTGGGGGACAGTGGCAGGCTGGTGGGACAGTGGCAGGCTGGTGGGACAGTGGCAGGCTGGTGGGACAGTGGCAGGCCGGTGGGACAGTGGCAGGCTGGTGGGACAGTGGCAGGCTGGTGGGACAGTGGCAGGCCGGTGGGACAGTGGCAGGCTGGTGGGACAGTGGCAGCTGGTGGGACAGTGGCAGGCTGGTGGGACAGTGGCAGGCTGGTGGGACAGTGGCAGGCTGGTGGGACAGTGGCAGGCTGGTGGGACAGTGGCAGGCTGGTGGGACAGTGGCAGGCTGGTGGGACAGTGGCAGGCTGGTGGGACAGTGGCAGGCTGGTGGGACAGGGCAGGCTGGTGGGACAGTGGCAGGCTGGTGGGACAGTGGCAGGCTGGTGGGACAGTGGCAGGCTGGTGGGACAGTGGCAGGCTGGTGGGACAGTGGCAGGCTGGTGGGACAGTGGCAGGCTGGTGGGACAGTGGCAGGCTGGTGGGACAGTGGCAGGCTGGTGGGACAGTGGCAGGCTGGTGGGACAGTGGCAGGCTGGTGGGACAGTGGCAGGCTGGTGGGACAGTGGCAGGCTGGTCAGACACCTCATACAGTGGCAGGCTGGTCGGACACCTCATACAGTGGCAGGCTGGTCGGACACCTCATACAGTGGCAGGCTGGTCAGACACCTCATACAGTGGCAGGCTGGTCGGACACCTCATACAGTGGCAGGCTGGTCGGACACCTCATACAGTGGCAGGCTGGTCAGACACCTCATACAGTGGCAGGCTGGTCAGACACCTCATACAGTGGCAGGCTGGTCGGACATCTCATACAGTGGCAGGCTGGTGGGACACCTCATACAGTGGCAGGCTGGTGGGACACCTCATACAGTGGCAGGCTGGTGGGACACCTCATACAGTGGCAGGCTGGTGGGACACCTCATACAGTGGCAGGCTGGTGGGACACCTCATACAGTGGCAGGCTGGTGGGACACCTCATACAGTGGCAGGCTGGTGGGACACCTCATACAGTGGCAGGCTGGTGGGACACCTCATACAGTGGCAGGCTGGTGGGACACCTCATACAGTGGCAGGCTGGTGGGACACCTCATACAGTGGCAGGCTGGTGGGACACCTCATACAGTGGCAGGCTGGTGGGACACCTCATACAGTGGCAGGCTGGTGGGACACCTCATACAGTGGCAGGCTGGTCGGACACCTCATACAGTGGCAGGCTGGTGGGACACCTCATACAGTGGCAGGCTGGTGGGACACCTCATACAGTGGCAGGCTGGTGGGACACCTCATACAGTGGCAGGCTGGTGGGACACCTCATACAGTGGCAGGCTGGTGGGACACCTCATACAGTGGCAGGCTGGTGGGACACCTCATACAGTGGCAGGCTGGTGGGACACCTCATACAGTGGCAGGCTGGTGGGACATCTCATACAGTGGCAGGCTGGTGGGACATCTCATACAGTGGCAGGCTGGTGGGACACCTCATACAGTGGCAGGCTGGTGGGACACCTCATACAGTGGCAGGCTGGTGGGACACCTCATACAGTGGCAGGCTGGTGGGACACCTCATACAGTGGCAGGCTGGTCGGACAGTGGCAGGCTGGTGGGACACCTCATACAGTGGCAGGCTGGTGGGACACCTCATACAGTGGCAGGCTGGTCGGACAGTGGCAGACTGGTCGGACACCTCATACAGTGGCAGGCTGGTCGGACACCTCATACAGTGGCAGGCTGGTCGGACACCTCATACAGTGGCAGACTGGTTGGACACCTCATACAGTGGCAGGCTGGTCGGACACCTCATACAGTGGCAGGCTGGTCGGACACCTCATACAGTGGCAGGCTGGTCGGACAGTGGCAGACTGGTCGGACACCTCATACAGTGGCAGGCTGGTCGGACACCTCATACAGTGGCAGGCTGGTCGGACAGTGGCAGACTGGTCGGACACCTCATACAGTGGCAGGCTGGTCAGACACCTCATACAGTGGCAGGCTGGTCGGACACCTCATACAGTGGCAGGCTGGTCGGACACCTCATACAGTGGCAGGCTGGTCAGACACCTCATACAGTGGCAGGCTGGTCGGACACCTCATACAGTGGCAGGCTGGTCGGACACCTCATACAGTGGCAGGCTGGTCGGACACCTCATACAGTGGCAGGCTGGTCAGACACCTCATACAGTGGCAGGCTGGTCGGACACCTCATACAGTGGCAGGCTGGTCGGACACCTCATACAGTGGATGCCAGATGTGTCCAGAATTATCTGGGAAGGAAATGTGGCCCTGGTCAGCCTACCTGATACTGTTGTGCTGTAAGTTTTGTGAAGGCCTACAATTCACACACCTGCAGAATTATCAGTCACAAAATAATCATATGTTGGTGAGAGAGAGAACTAGAGAGGGGAAGAGATAAAATGAGTGTTTGTGTCAGTGAAAGAGAGAAAGGGAACTTCAATATTTTCTGTTGCAGATAAATTCTATGTTTCTATTTAATTCAATTTTATAGATGTATTCTGGATTTTTATGTCAACTTTAGTTTTATTACAATTGTATATTTTGATTTTAAAAATGATCTTTTGCAGATTTATTCCATGACCCTGCGTCTGTCAGCATTGTTTGAGGCTCACATTGTAGAAATAATTAAAAATTGGAAGTTGGCTCTCAAGGCGTCGGGACGTGTCAGGAAACACCATAGGTAATGTTGCCATTTTGTGTGAAAGTGACATTAATAATGATATAATGTTGTTTTATGAAGTAAAAGTGATTTTTGTGTGATGATGATGATATAATCGTGCTTTATGAGGTAAAAGTGTGATTTTTGTGTGATGATGATGATATAATTGTGCTTTATGAGGTAAAAGTGTGATTTTTGTGTGAAAATGTTGACCTGACACCTCAGAGAGCAGATCAATGTTTGTGAAATAAGCCCTGTTTCAATTTAGATTTAAAAGCGCTGTAGCATAGCTGTTAGACTTTCACCTGCTGTCCCAAAGGTCTAGGGTTCAAATCCACAGTATTACATTTTAAATGAAAAGTTAACATTGTTCTTAGTTCAGTGCAGCCTAAATGGTTTTGACCACCTCACCCATCAAGTGACCACTTGTCTATCAAATTCAGGTATTACCTCAAGCAAAATGTTTGTATTCAAAATATGTAGTAACCTTTTTTCTGCTGATGCGCCATAATCTTCTGTTTAATCTCTGGACGACTACTGCGAGTCTCCTTCTAACACACAGTGAGCAGTCCACGCTCCTTCTAACACACAGTGAGCAGTCCACACTCCTTCTAACACACAGTGAGCAGTCCACACTCCTTCCAACACACAGTGAGCAGTCCACATTGTTTTCTGTGTCTCTATGGGTGGTCAGGGGAGATGGTGAACTACTAGTGCTTAAGCTCATGTCATGTGCATGTCTATCTTTGTTGACTGATCTATTCTTATGCCTGATTCTTTCACTGATTGATTCTGTCTTGTTGACTAATTAGTTCTTATGCCTGATTTCTTTCACTGATTGATTCTGTTGTGTTGACTGATCTCTTCTTATGCATGATTTCTTTCACTGATTGATTCTGTCTTGTTGACTAATTGGTTCTTATGCCTGATTTCTTTAACTGATTGATTCTGTTGTGTTGACTGATCTGTTCTTATGCCTGATTTCTTTCACTGATTGATTCTGTCTTGCTGACTAATTGGTTCTTATGCCTGATTTCTTTCACTGATTGATTCTGTTGTGTTGACTGATCTGTTCTTATGCCTGATTTCTTTCACTGATTGATTCTGTTGTGTTGACTGATCTATTCTTATGACTGATTTCTTTCACTGATGGATTCTGTTGCGTTGACTGATCTATTCTTATGCCTGATTTCTTTCACTGATTGATTCTGTCTTGTTGACTAATTGGTTCTTATGCCTGATTTCTTTCACTGATTGATTCTGTCGTGTTGACTAATCTATTCTTATGCCTGATTTCTTTCACTGATTGATTCTGTTGTGTTGACTGATCTATTCTTATGCCTCATTTCTTTCCCTGATTGATTCTGTCATGTTGACTGATCTGTTCTTATGCCTGATTTCTTTCACTGATTGATTCTGTCGTGTTGACTGATCTATTCTTATGCCTGATTTCTTTCACTGATTGATTCTGTCTTGTTGACTGATCTATTCTTATGCCTGATTTCTTTCACTAATTGATTCTGTCGTGTTGACTGAGTCTTTCTTGTTGGTTGGTGTCTATGATTTTTATCTAGATAATTTAATTTTTAATCATCCAGTTTTTTTAATTATAAATCTTTGCCAAATACATACATTTTTTTTTGTCTACATTTATGCCCCCCCCCCCCCAACCTCCCTTCCATTGAATATGTTGTGTGTAGTTGTCACAATGATTTCTACTCAACAGTAGATTATGTCTTTTGTTTTTTGTCCTGCTTGGACATTGTTGTTTATAGGCCAGGAAGCTCAACATCAGCGCAGACACTGACCTCCTGGGATGCTTTTACCAGCAGCATCTTCGATTCCTCGCAGCCGTCCAGCTCCACTCAGCCGCTGAGCATCAGACTGCCAGGGAAGGATGGCATGGTCTCAGCTTTAGGGTCATCTTCTTCCTCATCCCAGCAGATGAATGGACATTTCTCAGGTCAGCAAATGCTTGAAAATCTGGTTATAAAATGTTTGTCCAGACTGAAAAATATTCCACTGAATCCAGTTGGGTCTAAAGGAAGATATATGTAAAATTAGTTTTAGTCTGTAAAGCAGTAAATGCTGAACCAAGTCTGTCAAGAACCATAAAACCATTGGAGAAAAATAATCTGTTGAGCACAACCTGGCAACACATGCAGTTGTTTCACTAAATCTGTTTTGGCAACAATCATGTAACTTTAACCAGTAAACCAAATCAGAGAATTCCTCATGAAGTCCTACATCTTCATGGTGTATTCATGCAGATATCTCATGCTGTATTCATGCTTTTATAATATTCATAATATGCATATCATCATATGATAATAACATGCTTTATTAGTAAAATACAACTGCTGTGCGAAAGATGATTGACTGGAAGGGTCAAATGTAAGGCGGGCCTACGTGCCCAATTTGTGACCCTTTGAAAATAAAGTTTGTTCGTTTTTTCATGCTGACATCTTCATGCTGTATTCATGCAGACCTCTTTCTGTTCATCAGATGATGATATGCAGCCACATGAAACATCTCTCTCCTGCCTTCTAGTGCTTCACTTTCTCTCCAGCGCATCTTTTGTTAGCACTGTTTCTCTCCAGCACATCTTTTAACAGTTAGCACTGTTTCTCTCCAGCACATCTTTTAACAGTTAGCACTGTTTCTTTCTGTTGCCTAATTGCCTTAGATGTCTGATTTTAATTTCATTTTTTTTTTATCCCAGTGTGGATTCCCTGAGTCCCATTTGGGGAAACGTACTGGGGAAAATGTTTATACCCGCTGCACCTCCCATTCTGGGGAAATAGTTTACACCCACTGCACCCATTCTGGGGAAACAGTTTACACCCGCTGCACCTTCCATTCTGGGGAAACAGTTTACACCCCCTGCACCTCCCATTCTGGGGAAACAGTTTACACCCGCTGCACCTCCCATTCTGGGGAAACAGTTTACACCCGCTGCACCTCCCATTCTGGGGAAACAGTTTACACCCGCTGTACCCATTCTGGGGAAATAGTTTACACCCACTGCACCTCCCATTCTAGGGAAACAGTTTACACCCGCTGTACCCATTCTGGGGAAATAGTTTACACCCACTGCACCTCCCATTCTGGGGAAACAGTTTACACCCGCTGTACCCATTCTGGGGAAATAGTTTACACCCGCTGCACCTCCCATTCTGGGGAAACAGTTTACACCCCCTGCACCTCCCATTCTGGGGAAACAGTTTACACCCCCTGCACCTCCTATTCTGGGGAAACAGTTTACACCCGCTGCACCTCCTATTCTGGGGAAACAGTTTACACCCGCTGTACCCATTCTGGGGAAATAGTTTACACCCACTGCACCTCCCATTCTAGGGAAATAGTTTACACCCGCTGCACCTCCCATTCTGGGGAGGTAGTTTACACCCCCTGCACCTCCCATTCTGGGAAAACAGTTTACACCCGCTGCACCTCCCATTCTGGGGAAACAGTTTACACCCCCTGCACCTCCCATTCTGGGGAAACAGTTTACACCCGCTGCACCTCCCATTCTGGGGAAACGGTTTACACCCCCTGCACCTCCCATTCTGGGGAAACAGTTTACACCCGCTGCACCTCCCATTCTGGGGAAACAGTTTACACCCGCTGCACCTCCCATTCTGGGGAAACAGTTTACACCTACTGCACCTCCCATTCTGGGGAAACAGTTTACACCCACTGTACCTCCCATTCTGGGGAAACAGTTTACACCCACTGTACTCATTCTGAGGAAACAGTTTACACCTACTGCACCTCCCATTAAAAGATTACGTGAAAGTGTGTATTTGACGAAAAGGCTCGAATGAACAAACTTTATTTTCAGATATTGTAGCCTTACTATGAATTATATAAGAACAAAGAAAAAAAAAGAAGAATCTTTAATAGCAGAATATAGATGACACCCTGTATAACTTGATTTGATGCATGTGATCTGAGCAGGAACAGATGGATACAATTTTGCCTCCGATTTAAGTTGTAATTCTGCAGACGTTTTGCTTTGTCAGTGTGATCACTTGTAGATAGCAGATCACACCATCGTCAAGAATTTCAGCTTTTTAAAAAGTCAGTCCTGAAATTTCCTAATCGTTCTATTCCATAATTATCTGTATTTAATTATCATTTTTGCGCTGGTCTCTTTAGTTCCATTTATGTCTGCATTAACAAACTGGCGCATGTCTGTTCTAAGAGAGCCACCGTGGTGTAGCGGTTAGGCATTCACCTTGTTGTGGCCAGGCTTTTTTCAAAAAAGTCAACCCAGCCTTAAGTGAAAACCAGGTGCAGTCCTGGGAAGTAAAGGTGGCCGGCATGATGCTCACATCACCCACCCAGTGCTGATTGGTCTATCAAATATAGGTCTAGCCCTATATACCCAGTATCTCTGAAGTTTACTGTTACTTTATTTGCTGTACAGTTTATCCTTTGTCTGTGATTTCCTTTTGTCCCCCTGTCTTCTGCCCCTGGTTCCTTCTGTATTTTTTTCAACAATGCATGTCATTAACTGAAGCCTCAACAGTCTTTACTTGTTAAATTATTTGGGACAAGTTGATTAATTTCAGTTACATTTTCCTGGAGCATTACATTGGTATCTCTGGCTTCACTTGTACCTCATGACATTGATATTGCTGTACTTGCATCTCACTACTTGATATCTACTTCTGTTCTTGCATCTCACTACTTGATATCTACTTCTGTTCTTGCATCTCACTACTTGATATCTACTTCTGTTCTTGCATCTCACTACTTGATAACTACTTCTGTTCTTGCATCTCACTACTTGATATCTACTTGTGTTCTTGCATCTCACTACTTGATATCTACTTCTGTTCTTGCATCTCACTACTTGATATCTACTTCTGCTCTTGCATCTCACTACTTGATATCTACTACATCATCACTTTGATATCTAATACTGTTCTTGTATCTCATCACTTTGATATCCTTCTACTACTGTTCTTGTATCTCATCACTTTGATATCCTTCTACTACTGTTATTGTATCTCATCACTTTGATATCCTTCTACTACTGTTCTTGTATCTCATCACTTTGATATCCTTCTACTACTGTTCTTGTATCTCATCACTTTGATATCCTTCTACTACTGTTATTGTATCTCTTCACTTTGATATCCTTCTACTACTGTTATTGTATCTCATCACTTTGATATCCTTCTACTACTGTTATTGTATCTCATCACTTTGATATCCCTCTACTGTTCTTGTATCTCATCACTTTGATATCCTTGTATCTCATCACTTTGATATCCTTCTACTACTGTTATTGTATCTCTTCACTTTGATATCCTTCTACTACTGTTATTGTATCTCATCACTTTGATATCCTTCTACTACTGTTATTGTATCTCATCACTTTGATATCCTTCTACTACTGTTCTTGTATCTCATCACTTTGATATCCTTCTACTACTGTTCTTGTATCTCATCACTTTGATATCCTTCTACTACTGTTATTGTATCTCTTCACTTTGATATCCTTCTACTACTGTTATTGTATCTCATCACTTTGATATCCTTCTACTACTGTTATTGTATCTCATCACTTTGATATCCCTCTACTGTTCTTGTATCTCATCACTTTGATATCCTTGTATCTCATCACTTTGATATCCTTGTATCTCATCACTTTGATATCCTTGTATCTCATCACTTTGATATCCTTGTATCTCATCACTTTGATATCCTTGTATCTCATCACTTTGATATCCTTGTATCTCATCACTTTGATATCCCTCTACTGTTCTTGTATCTCATCACTTTGATATCCTTGTATCTCATCACTTTGATATCTCTGTACCCAGGATTCAAGAGGAGTACTGGTGTCAATGGTGGAGACGATTCTGATGCTACTATTGTGGACAAAGATGACAAGGATGACGATGGAGACACTGAAGTTTGCGACGAGGAAACTGGAGTCAACGGACACTTCAACAACACTGATGATGATGATGTGAGTGATGATGATGATGATAAAGACAACGATTACAGACCAACAAATTTCCGATTGCATTCTGGGAAATCTGCCATGAAAGGTGAGATGATGCATGTGAAGATATTTCTTTGTTTGTTTGTTTAATGGAAACTTCCTTCACACAACAGGCAGCGTGTAGTTTGTATAGTTTTACTGTCATCACACACATTGCCTAGTATGTTGTTTGAACTGTTTAACTATCACACATATTTGCTGCATGTGCACACACAGAAACATACACCCACAGATAGTATGTTGTTTGTATAATTGGACATGTCAGTTTACCTAATGGGAGCATTGTCACAGTTCACCTAATGGGAGCATTGTCAGACATGTCACCTAGCATGGGCCTTGTATGATTTGGCCTTTCCCCAGTTCACCTCTGAGCGTGTGGGTTCAGACTCCTGGTCATATCCTAGAGTTGTTTCATCTACTCTCTATCCCCTTGGCTGTTTGGTTAGAGCCTGAGAGCAATCAGTAAGGTCAAGAGGTCATCTCCAACAGGCTAACTGGGTACATGGTGCCAGCCCCATGTTTGTCATAGACCTTTCACTGACATTAGACACTGGGGGGGGGGGGGGATATGCCTTACCTCCTAGAACATTTTAGTAGAACCTATTTTTAGGACTTGGCCCTGAAGCCTAGGCCAGTTTTAAAAATTTAGACCCCAAAAGGGATTGAACACATGACCATCAAACTGTACGCCAACCACCGGACTGTGGTATTTTTGGTCTTCCTCCAAGTGACCAGGTCTCTTGTGTTTTTGCTGCAGTTGAATTCAAGGCTTGCTTGCTGATTGTTTACTGTTTCTGTACCATTTTCACATTTCTCAGCTTTCTTCATTATTTTTCTTTGTCAGATTTAACTTTGTACTATTATTGTGTACCACATCTCAATTAAACGTCTTATCTTTTTATTCTGCTAGCCTTTCTCTTAATTCCGTTTTCCATTAATCTAGTGTCTCTTCCATGTTTGAGTTTTAAACTTGTAGTCATATTTCTGCTACATGTTGGACTTCTTCTTCTTGTAGTTTAGCACTGTTAGACATTTGATTTCTGTTGTTTGGATTTGCGATAAACTGACTGCTAGAGTATTCCATTGTTTCAGGTAAAGGAAGCACACGTGGCAAGGGGAAATCCACCCGACCACTGCCCACAAGAACAGTGAGAGAGCGGTTGAAGAAGTCAAACGTCTTTTATACGTCAGATGGCAACAGCAACGTTGATGACCTCTCTGGTTCTGACTGTGATGAAGAACTGACTAAAGTTCCCTCTAGAAAATGCAAAAGCAAAATCAGCAGCAAGTCACCTGATGACTCAGATAATGCGTCCAGCGATGAACTGTCCTATCAGGCATCCAGGCGGAAGACTCCAAGGTCAAGCCTGGCTGCTAAACGACGACCAGCTGGCAGAAGTAGTTCCTTTAAAAAATATCCATCCTCAGATTACGAAGGTACCCCCTCACATAGAAAAGCTCGTGGTACGAGGTCAAAGAAGAGAGCAGTGCTTTCAGAGGAAGAGGAGGAGGAAGTGAAAAGTAGAATTAAGAAGAATAGCTCAAGTGCCTTGTCTCGTTCAGCAAGATCTGCACGGACACAGAAAAAGTCTTACGCTGAAGATGAATCGGATCTGTCAGTTAAAGCTGAAGATGAAGATGATGATGAAGTTGAGCTTGAGGATGATGTGTGTAATAACTTGGACTCAGAGGAAGAGTCGTCAGAAGAAGTTGATGAAGATTCTGAAGATGAACTGATAACCAAAAGTTTGAGAAAGTCGACCAAGGACAGTAAGAAAGCCAGCAGTAAGTCTCAGAAACGTTCCAAGTTGGACTCTCACAGCAACGACAGTGATTCAGACAGTCTTTCAAATGTGCCTCGCAAACGAACACGACTTCGGACTTCTCCGCAGCCGAAACATTCGCGGAGGACCAGCAAATCACATTCTCCTCCTGTAAATAAAATTAGCAACAAACGGGTTAAAAATGGCCAGAAAAGTGGCTCAACTCGACAGACCAGAAACAGAGGTAAGCAGCGAGTCACCTACATCGAGGATGATTCAGACGAAGATAATGACAGTGGTGATTCAAACAGTGACAGTGATAATTTAGAGGAAGCTGGAGCACGAAACGTTAGCAGCCGAGGGCGAGTTCGGAAACTGACTGCAAGAGCCAGGGCCAGTTTCAAAAAACAAATGGGGCTAACTTCGGGTCTCTATGCTGGATAATGAAATGGGCTACAGACGCCAGCTGCGTGTGTTTGTGATAATTTCAGGTCACAGTTGGTAAGGGAATATGTGGCAGACACCAGTTCCATGTGTGTGCCAGATACCAGTTCCATGTTTGTGCCAGACACCAGTTCCATGTGTGTGCCAGACACCAGTTCCATGTGTGTGCCAGACACCAGTTCCATGTGTGTGCCAGACACCAGTTCCATGTGTGTGCCAGATAATTTATATGAATTGTCTCCATCCACATGTAATTCTGAATTATGGGACTTATCTAAGCTCTGCTTGCAAGAATAGAAGAGTGTTCTAAGCTCTGCTTGCAGGTATAGAAGAGTGTTCTAAGCTCTGCGTGCAAGAATAGAAGAGTGTTCTAAGCTCTGCTTGCAGGTATAGAAGAGTGTTCTAAGCTCTGCTTGCAGGTATAGAAGAGTGTTCTTAGCTCTGCTTGCAGGTATAGAAGAGTGTTCTTAGCTGTGTACTGGCATTTAGTGTTTGCCAAAGGAAAAGTTTATCAGTGTATGAAATAGGTCACAGACATAGGTTCAGCATCAAGTCTGACATCAGAAGAATGGTGTACAGAGTGACACACATGTGTACAATAGGAACTGTGTGAGAAATGTGTACACAGTTGTGACATACAAGTTTAGTATGTACAACAGTCAACAGTGAACACCTGAAAGTAAGATTTATCAAATCTCTGTGTGGTTGGTTTTCACATCTTCCTTTGTTTCTCTATGTGTCTGTATGTTTCTCTATGTGTCTGTATGTTTCTCTATGTGTCTGTATGTTTCTCTATGTGTCTGTATGTTTCTCTATGTGTCTGTATGTTTCTCTATGTGTCTGTATGTTTCTCTGTGTGTCTGTATGTTTCTCTATGTGTCTGTATGTGTCTGTATGTTTCTCTATGTGTGCAGTGTTTAAAGTGTGGCTTTGGGGACTTGCTAGCTGAAAAAAAGTTAGCCATTGTGTTTGACTTGTGTAAAGAGCTCGACAGCTAAGTAAGCTCTTTGTGTACCTAGATTTTGAGTTAAATCTGAATGTGGCTGTGCATAGAATGGTCTAAGCTCTGTGCAGATTCTGTTGTGATCATTATAATTTGTCTGACATGCCTGGGCTTTACGCTTCACTGTGACACAAGAATGTTCTAGAGATGTCTCTGCCCGAATCTGTCAGCTAATAGAAGATACTATCAGCTTCATAAGAGCTAACTAGACAGGCATCATTGTTTCATCTGAATCACCTGGGCTGCTTTTTAACAGTGTCACTTAAAGATCCATTGAGTTAGACAGTGTTGACCTTTTCTCCTTCTTTTTACCACTTTCATTAATTTTAATGTTTGGAAATAAATCCTTGATTGTCTGTAAGTCTCATTGCTGCCATCTTGAAGAATGCCAAGTTGGCCTGTTGCACTGTTTGCTTGGGCACTTGAACCTGCTACATTGATGTCCAGATTGTCTGGACACAGAGAGAGGCTGCTTCTGTCGGAGTGTGACTTGGTATTGAGGCTTTCCTTCCAGTCTGCTTCGGGGCTGCCCTCATGGGGTCTGTGTTAGAGTACTGCCTTCATTTCTCTAAGCCTAGAAATCAGTGGGCTGTTGCAGACTTGACCTGGCAATTCATTTCTGTGGATGGAGATGGTGATCCTTGAAGAGATGGTGATCCTTGAAGAGATGGTGATCCTTGAAGAGATGGTGATCCTTGAACTGTTAGCCAAACTTGGGGCTTAATCTGGGAGTGGAGACACCAAGCTCCCTGCTCATGGCAAGCTTGAGACCTGGTCCATGAGCTGCCACTTGAGTTGCCCACAGTTTGCGAAGCACTGATGTCAGTTAATGGGTTTTGGCAACATCATGTGTTCCTTACTCTGTCTTGCACTCCGTCACGTCATAGACATATTCACCCCAGCTTATTTTTCTGGAATCAGATGCAAATTAGATGATCACATTCATTTTGTACAGTTTTGTGTTGATGCAAATCGCAGTATGGCATTTAAGTTCATGTTTTTTTATGGGACAAGATGTCTCCTTTATGGGACAGGATGTCTCATTGATGGGACAAGATGTCTCATTGATGGGACAGGATGTCTCATTGATGGGACAGGATGTCTCATTGATGGGACAAGATGTCTCATTGATGGGACAGGATGTCTTATTGATGGGACAAGATGTCTCATTGATGGGACAGGATGTCTTATTGATGGGACAGGATGACTCATTGATGGGACAGGATGACTCATTGATGGGACAGGATGTCTCATTGATGGGACAGGATGTCTCATTGATGGGACAGGATGTCTCATTGATGGGACAGGATGTCTCATTGATGGGACTGGATGTCTCATTGATGGGACAGGATGTCTCATTGATGGGGCAGGATGTCTGAAATGTGGTACAAGGTGTTTCTAGTTGTAGGTTAAATTGTGTGAGCTTATAAATGGTTTATATCAATGGTGTTATAATTATTGAAAATTGTAGTCTATTAATGACAACAATTGTGCTAATTTATGCTGTACTGTCTACTGAAAGTGCTTGGGAAAATAGCCTTGTCAAAAACAGTTGTGCTAATAGGATTGTTTCTAGGTAATGGTAACTATGGAAACAAAAGGACACTGGGGAGATAATACTAACAGGATTTCTGAGTTGCTGTAACTAGCGCAACAAAATGACTTGCATGACCTGGAAATGTTTGCACCCCAAACAGGGTTACATCAGCTAGTGATGTTAGAGTTGTTGTTTGCTCAAATTCTGTGAAACATTGTGTCGTGGTGATTCCCTGTTATATCTGTGATTCTTGCACATTTGATCATTTGCATATTCTGTTACTGTCGGCATATATCTGTCTATGAGTAAAGAAATGGCTAAACATGTCTTCAACAGTGTGTGAAAGTTATTGACATCAAGAAATACAAACACCATACTAGAAATGAGAATTGCCAGAAACCATCAGCAAAGAGGTTCTGCGGAAACTAAGAATTTGAAGAGAGTGGCTGTAATAAATAAACAAGACATTTACAATGTTTTGTAAAAGACATATTACTCTTTTAAAAACCATACTAAAGGAAAAAGTTGAAGGCAAGTGAGCAGGAGGTAGACAAAGATACAAACTGGAAGACAACATCAAGAGATGGACAAACAGCAAAAAAAGAGGCAATATGTTTGAAATTAGTTGCAGCCAACCTTCGGGGAGATGATGCCTGATTGGTTGATTTTGTCGGTGCTAAATTTGTGTAAATTTTGGTTATTAAGCTCGTTTGTTAATTTAAGGAGATTTATTTATTTTAGTAAAGTGTGGGTGTTTGAGGGTTTTTTGGTGTAGAGGTTCAAATCCTGACTAAGTTTGTGGATGTTTAATCTGGCCCAGATCAACTAAAAAACCTGGTCTGTAGATACTGGGGATACACAGAGATGCATTGATTGGCTAGTGTTAATACCAGCATCTTTTATTGGCTTATTATTCAATAGTTTATTGTAAAATGTAGGTTTTTTAAAATTGCAAAATAAATAAGTCTCACTTAAATCATAAAACTATACAATTGTTTATAGCCTAACGACGATGTTGTTTATCTCCTCCTGCTCCTATTTTACCTTTGTCTGGGGTTTCCTATTTATCTGTTGCTGTCACATTACATCCATCTGTCAGTTGTCTGCACTCTGTCTTCTGTCCATCCTTCCCCAGTAAAGTATTTCCTCGATTAGGTCAGGAGGGCTTTTATTGCCACTTTGTCATTCTGTTGTTTGTGTGTTTTTACTACCGGGTATGTATATGTTTATGTGCAGTTACTACTACAAATGTATATGTTTGTTTGAAGCTACGACCTCATGTGTATATCTTCATTATGTGGTTATAGCCATGTATTTTTTGTTTGTGTGTGGTTAAAACCATGTAAATATATGTTTATGTGTGGTTACAACCATGTAAGTATATGTTTATGTGTGGTTACAACCATGTAAGTATATGTTTATGTGTGGTTACAACCACTAATGTTTATGTAACATTTATTCACACTGATAGCATTGGTTATTGTTGACAGTTTAAGACTGCTGCATTTGTAATATATTCAACCTGTAACTAACCACCATATGACTTTCTGGAAGTGCAACATCTACACATGATACAGCAACATCTACACTTGATACAGCAACATCTACACATGATACAGCAACATCTACACATGATACAGCAACATCTACACATGATACAGCAACATCTACACTTAATACAGCAACATCTACACTTAATACAGCAACATCTACACTTAATACAGCAACATCTACACTTGATACGGCAACATCTACACATGATACAGCAACATCTACACTTGATACAGCAACATCTACACATGATACAGCAACATCTACACTTAATACAGCAACATCTACACATGATACAGCAACATCTACACTTGATACAGCAACATCTACACTTAATACAGCAACATCTACACTTAATACAGCAACATCTACACTTGATACAGCAACATCTACACTTGATACAGCAACATCTACACATGATACAGCAACATCTACACTTGATACAGCAACATCTACACTTGATACGGCAACATCTACACATGATACAGCAACATCTACACTTGATACAGCAACATCTACACATGATACAGCAACATCTACACATGATACAGCAACATCTACACTTGATACAGCAACATCTACACTTGATACAGCAACATCTACACTTGATACAGCAACATCTACACTTGATACAGCATCTACACTTGATACAGCAACATCTACACTTGATACAGCAACATCTACACTTAATACAGCAACATCTACACTTAATACAGCAACATCTACACATGATACAGCAACATCTACACTTGATACAGCAACATCTACACATGATACAGCAACATCTACACATGATACAGCAACATCTACACATGATACAGCAACATCTACACTTGATACAGCAACATTTACACATGATACAGCAACATCTACACTTAATACAGCAACATCTACACTTGATACAGCAAC